TGTGTGATGGGGTAAGTTTTCTGGATCCTTTGGAGATGAAGCAACATGAAATGCAACGCTAAGAAGATAGTTTCCCTTGATCCCCCTCCCCTCCCCTGGAATGAAGTGAATAGTCTTGCCCCACAATAGCTGAAGTTGGGGAATGCCCTGGAGCTTCTCCACACTTTGGGGTAGTGTTAATAGTTCCAGTTTGAAGCTGGCTGCCACTGTTTACATGACCATCCCACTCTTCCTGGGCTCAGCAGCCTGAAGAGAAGGTATAGCACTTACTGTCATTATCTTGTCTTCTATGGTCAATGCCACTCCCATGGCAGTGATTATAGAGTACAAAAGTGCTCCTGGTTATGGCTTGTTGCCATTGCTGACACTATCTTAGTTGCAATGACATTTTTGCAAGCATCAGCAATGGCAAAATGTGTTGACCAGGACCACTTTCACACTCCATGGACATTGCGACAAAAGCAAGAAGACAACAAGGGCAAGGATGGCCATCTGGTGACACTGGAGTGTGGACTCCTTCCTCGCTGCCTTAGTGGCACAGAGGCCAGTTATGTGGACTCCCCTGGGGTGGATTGAGAGCAATCCATGCCAGATCAGTCCCAAGATAAATGGCCAATGTAAATTTACCTGGTAAAGGGGCTGCTAAAGTGCCATCTCTTATATTCAATTTTTTTTTTACCTTAGCAGAATTCCTAAACATACATTAAGCTAGAAAATCTGAGCAAATACGGGGGGGGGGGGGGGATATTTAGTCAGATACCAATTGTACAAGTACTCCCACTTAAAAGGATAAGAGAGGCCTGTAATTAACATCATAGGTAGACCTCAACTATGAGAGACAACATGAGAAAACACATCCAGAAAATCACATTGTCTGATTTTTAATGAATTTATTTGCAAATTATGATGTCAATTACAGGCCTCTCTCATCTTCTTAAGTGGGAAAACTTGTACAATTGTTATATGACTAAATACTCTCCCCCCCCCCCCCCCCAATGTATAGCTTTCAAACACAATACAATCACAGTATTGGTGGTTTTTGCAATGTAAAGGAGTTGGGTGTTGTTTCAGATTACAAGCACACAGCAGTTCACCTAGGCATGTAATTGTTGCTTTCGTGAACCAATATGAAACCAAGAGTACTGACATTAATTTGCAGAGTTAATGAAGTTCTGTGATCAGGGTGCTGGACTGGATGCAGAGAGCTCATATAGCCATGGGATTGGTCTTTGGGACAACTGCAGCCACTTAACCAAATCTTTAGAGTTTTTTGTGATGGTAACAGTGTGAGAGGATGACTTAAATGTAATGAAAAAATAAAGGTCAGCAGCTGTTCTTTCCTATCAGATATGTTTCATGCTTTACCATAAGGAAGTAAGACATCCTGGACATATTGACTAAAAGACATGGGCACCAAGTACTAATTTTCTGATTCAAGGCATCACTGCCTTGTTGGAAATATCCTCACTTTGTGCCAGGCACAGACAACTGGAGTCTCTTGAACTCCTTTTCTTCATACTCAGCGTATGGAAACATTACTTTTTGGACCTCAGTTCCAAGACTCCTCCAGCTAGAATTGTTTTTAAAGGTGACTTTTCAAGTTCTGTTTCCTTCTGTCCCAGCACTTACAAACTGTGTCATTACAAATAAAAAATGGTGGCAAGACAATCTAAAAACCCACAATGGGGGGAATGGGATACGTAACTCTTCTAATAAATTGTTAAATAGTTGCAGATGGCTTGGCTTGAATACTATGTTTTGGACGAAGAGCCTGTCTAGGGACCTACACTGGTTGCTGCATATTTGGCACAAGCCAGTCTCTGCCTTTGATCCAGATCTCTCATGTTTCAGCCTGACACTTTAAATGTCACAGCAACAGGTCAGCCTCTTCTGTATATTACACAGACCCCTCAAACTAAATATACACCTGATTTTTGTCTAAAACTTGAATCAGAAGTAACTTCACGTAGCTTCTAAGTCAGCAGACATGCACCCTATGACCTACAGGAGCAGTTCAGTGTCAAAGATTATCTTTCAGCATTAGGAAATGGTAGCAACCACTAGACTAACAGATTTGCTGTTATTGTTTGCCTTCAAGGGACCTTTCACACAGTCATAAAACACAGAATATCAAGGCAGAAAAGTACACAATATCTGCTTTGAGGTGGGTTATCTGGGTCCATACTGCCATATATTCCAGTTCAAAGCAGAAAATGTGGGATTTTATTCAGCTGTGTGGAAGGGGCCCAAGTCATTTTTATTTATGGTGATTATGAGTCTACATTGCCATATAATCTAGTTCAAAATCTGGATTTCATATAGCCATGTAGAAGGGGTCTGATTCTAAAGTAGCAGATACAACAGTTAATTTCCTCCCTGAATTTGCTGATATCCTATCTTTAGCCATATATACTATATGTGTATCTGAATATGGCTAACTTTTACCTTTTTGGTAACACATTCCCACTAGCTTATTCTAATTTTGTTTTTAAGGGGAGAAAAAGTTCTTAGTTTTCATCTGTTTTATTCTTGCCTTATCTCAACATTATTGCTGCAGACCACTTAGCAAAGACACTTCAGTGTCTCCTAGCAAAAGTATCTTTAAACTTTTATGGAATTGTGTTATCAAGTAATGCCGTGGAGTATTTCGGTATTCTAATGTCTTCATTATGCTTGCCAAGAATGTAAATAAGGATGTTATTTATTACTGAAACGTCCCCGTCCCCCCCCAAAGGATTTCTTAATACACTGCTAGGGCATATGGCTCCTCAAAGATTTTATTTTATCTTCAAGTTTAAAATAGTTTGAAACGGGTCTGTGCCTGGTTTTTGTTTTCCCTTTTGAAATGAACACTTTGTGAAGTTTACATGGCTCAGAAGTTTAAATAGTCATTGTAGTAGAGAAGAAAAGGTCACGCTTCTTGACACTCAATACTGGTCATGCCAGCAGAAAAAGAATGCTCTTAAATTCTGTCATATAGTCTGGAACTGAGTGCCTTTATTGAAGATGTTCAGAATTGCTTTCAAATGGCAGATGGAGAAACAAAATGATGTAAACACAACATAATATTGTGCCGTATTAGCTTTGATATTTTGTAGCTCCTCTTAAAATAAGAGAAATGAGTTCAGTCAGGATCCATTTGATTTAAATCATTCAGAAAAAGTATGATTTGAATAAAATTGATTTAAATTGCCCTTTCAATAAAATATTCGGATGTAAGAATTTGAATCATAGTTTAAATCACTAGCAATGAAGATTCCACTAAGGGCCCTTCCACACAGCCCTAAATCCCAGAATATCAAGGCAGAAAATCCCACATTATTTGCTTTGAACTGGGATATAGGGCAGTGTGGACTCAGATAACCCAGTTCAAAGCAGGTGTTGTGGGATTTTCTGACTGGATATTTTGGAATATAGGGCTGTGTGAGAAGGTTCCACATGTTTTAAACTCGGGGCCCTTCCACACAGCCCTCTATCCCAGAATATCAAGGCAGAAAATCCCACAATATCTGCTTTGAACTGGGATATATGGCAGGGTAGACTCAGGACCCTTTCACACAGCCCTCTATCCCAGAATATCAAGGCAGAGAATCCCACATTACTTGCTTTGAACTGGGATATATGGCAGTGTGGACTCAGATAACCCAGTTCAAAGGTGTTGTGAAATTTTCTGCCTTAATATTCTGGAATATAGGGCTGTGTGGGAAGGTTCTACATGTTTTAAGCTCAGGGCCCTTCCACACAGCCATATAACCCAGAATATCAAGGCAGAATATTCCTCAATATCTGCTTTGAACTGGGTTACCTGGATCCACAATGCCATATATTCCAGTTCAAAGCAGATAATGTGGGATTTTTAGCCTAGATATTCTGGGCTATAGGACTGTGTGGAAGGGCCCTGAGCCCACATTGCCATATATCCCAGTTCAAAGCGGGATTTTTAGCCTTGATATTCTGTGATATAGGATGTGTGGAAGGGCCCTTGGTTTCCTGAGTCCACACTGCCATATATCCCAGTTCAAAGCAGATGTGGGATTTTTCGCCTTGATATTCTGGGTTATAGGGCTGTGTGGAAGGACCCTTGGTTATCTGAATCCACACTGCCATATATCCCAGTTCAAAGCGGGATTTCCCGCCTTCACATTCTAGGATATAGGGCTGTGTGGAAGGGCCCTTGGTTACCTGAGTCCACGCTGCCATATATCCCAGTTCAAAGCAGATAATGTGGGATTTTTAGCCTGGATATTCTGGGCTATAGGGCTGTGTGGAAGGCCCCTTGGTTATCTGAGCACACACTGCCATATATTCCAATTCAAAGCGGGATTTTTAGCCTTGATATTCTGTGATATAGGACTGTGTGGAAGGGCCCTTGGTTACCTGAGGTCCACACTGCCATATATCCCAGTTCAAAGCAGATAATGTGGGATTTTTAGCCTGGATATTCTGGGTTATAGGGCTGTGTGGAAGGGCCCTTGGTTATCTGAATACACCCTGCCATATATCCCAGTTCAAAGCAGATAATGTGGGATTTCCTGCCTTGGCATTCTGTGATATAGGGCTGTGTGGAAGGGCCTTGGTTACCTGAGTCCACACTGCCATATATCCCAGTTCAAAGCAGATAATGTGGGATTTCCCACCTTGATATTCTGGGCTATAGGACTGTGTGGAAGGGCCCTGAGTTCAAATATCCTAGTTCAAAGCAGATACTGTGGGCTTTCCCGCCTGGACCTTCTGGGCTGGAGGGCTGTGTAGGGGAAGGGCTCCTGGCTGCTCCCCTCCCTGCCCCCTGCGCGGCCTTCACGGAGAAGGAACGCGCCGCCGACGTCACTCTCCTCACGGCAACCAACTCCCGAGGAACGCCGAGGAGCATTCTGGGAAACGTATTCCCTTTAAACGCGGGGACGGGGGAAGAACTACACTTCCCAGGCTCGTTTTGGTCCCTGCGCCGCGTTGCATGACGGTCCTCGTAGTTGTGCGCCTTGCGCGGCGCCGTTGGGATGACAGCGACTTCCGGCGCGGAGGGGACTACAATTCCCGTGGTGGGCGTCGAAGGAGAAGGGGAAAGGCCGTTAAGTCGGGCAGTGAAGAGGCAGTTAGTTGGCGGAAGGAAGGAAGGAAGGAAGAGAGGAAGGGAGGAAGCAAGGAAGCGGAGGCCGGTTCTGTCAGGTTCTGTCAGGTGTTGGAAGGAGAAGGAAGGAAAGAAGGAGCAGGGGGAGAGAGGGGATGAGCCCGTGAGGGGGCGAGAAGGCCGGGAGAGAGTGGAGCGAGGCGGGAAGCGATGTCTCAGCCGCCTCAGCCGGACCCGCCGGCGGCCTCCTCTTCCTCGTCGTCGTCGTCGTCGAAGCGCGACCGGCGCATCTTCTCGGGGACGTGCCCGGAGCCCAAGTGCGGGGCGCGGCTGTTCTTCCCGGCGGTGCAGGGGGGCCCGCTGAGCGCCGGGAGCGTGGAGTGCACGGACTGCGGGCGGCGGCACGAGGGGCGGCAGCTGCTCTCCGTGGAGGAGGTCACCGACCCGGACCTGGTGCTGCACAACCTGCTCCGGAGCGCGCTGCTGGGCGTGAGCGGGGCCGGCCCCCCGCGGAAGAGCACCGAGCCCGTCAAAGTCATGGGCCTGTCCAACTACCACTGCAAGCTGCTCTCCCCCATCCTGGCCCGCTACGGCATGGACAAGCAGACGGGAAAGGCCAAGCTGCTGACCGAAATGAAGCAAGGCGACGTCTTCGACTGCAGCCTGCTGGGAGACCGGGCCTTCCTCATCGAGCCCGAGCACGTGGACACCGTGGGCTACGGCAAGGACCGCTCCGGCAGCCTGCTCTACCTGCAGGACACGCTGGAGGACATCCGCCGGGCCAACCGCAACCAGGAGGAGTGCCTGGTCCCGGTGCACGTGGACGGCGACGGGCACTGCCTGGTCCACGCCGTCTCCCGGGCGCTGGTGGGCCGGGAGCTCTTCTGGCACGCCCTGCGGGAGAACCTCAAGGCCCACTTTGTGGAGAACCTGGCCCGCTACAAGGTGCTCTTCCACGACTTCATCGACGCCGCCGAGTGGGACGACATCGTCAACGAGTGCGACCCGCTCTTCGTGCCCCCCGAGGGCGTCCCCATGGGCCTGCGCAACATCCACATCTTCGGCCTGGCCAACGTCCTGCGCCGGCCCATCATCCTCCTGGACTCCCTCAGCGGGATGCGCAGCTCAGGCGACTACTCCGCCACCTTCCTGCCCGGCTTGGTCCCGGAGGAGAAGTGCACGGGGAAGGACGGTACGCTCAACAAGCCCATCTGCATCGCCTGGAGCAGCTCGGGGCGTAACCATTACATCCCCTTGGTGGGGATCAAAGGTGCTGCTTTGCCGAAATTGCCTCTGAAACTGCTTCCCAAAGCGTGGGGAGTGCCTCAGGACCTTATTAAGAAGTACATCAAGCTGGAAGAGGATGGCAGCTGCGTGATCGGAGGGGATCGGAGTTTGCAAGACAAGTACTTGATGAGGCTCGTTGCCGCCATGGAGGAAGTGTTTATGGATAAGCATGGCATTCACCCGAGTTTAGTGGCCGACGTACATCAATATTTCTACAGACGAACTGGTGTAATTGGAGTTCAGCCTGATGATGTTACGGCCGCCGCTAAAAAAGCCGTGATGGACAACCGCCTTCACAAGTGTCTGATCTGTGGTGCACTTTCAGAACTCCACGTTCCTCCCGAGTGGTTGGCTCCAGGGGGGAAACTGTATAATCTAGCAAAAACTACCCATGGCCAGCTAAGACCAGACAAAAACTACAGTTTCCCCCTTAACAGCTTAGTGTGCTCCTATAACCCTGTGAAGGATGTACTTGTCCCAGACTATGGTCTGAGTAGCCTGACTGCTTGTAATTTGTGCCATGGCACCTTGGTGCGTCGTGTGAGGAGTGATGGCTCTGTTGTGTATTTGGATGGGGATAGAACAAATACTAAATCCACAGGTGGCAAATGTGGCTGTGGATTTAAGCATTTTTGGGAAGGCAAAGAGTATGACAATCTCCCCGAAGCTTTCCCTATTACTTTGGAGTGGGGCGGGAGAGTGGTGAGAGAGACCGTGTACTGGTTCCAGTATGAGAGTGATCAATCTCTGAACAGCAATGTATATGATGTTGCAATGAAACTTGTTACTAAGCATTTTCCGGGAGAATTTGGGAGCGAGATTCTTGTCCAAAAGGTTGTCAATACAATTCTACATCAGACGGCCAAAAAGAACCCCGATGATTATACCCCTGTAAACATTGATGGTGCTCATGCCAGAAGAGCTGATGATGTGCAACAAGGGCAGGACTTGGAATCTCAGCTTCCAACTAAAATTATTCTTACGGGGCAGAAAACAAAAACGCTGCACAAAGAAGAGTTGACCATGAGTAAGACCGAAAGAAGCATTCAGCAAAACATTGCAGAGCAAGCGCCTATAATGCAGAAGCGGAAAACGGACAAATTGAAACAGGTGCAGAAAGGGCCAACTCGAACTACTTCCCCAGGTGCTGTCCCTGACGGGTCATCTTCTGCACCCGCTACCCCAACCAAGACTCCTTATTCCCCAACATCTACAAAAGAAAAGAAAATACGTATAACAACAAATGATGGGCGGCAGGCCATGCTCAATTTGAAGTCCACAACAACATTTGTCGAATTGCAAGAGAGCATTGCTAGAGAATTTAGTATTCCTTCCCATTTGCAGTGTATCCGTTTTGGCTTCCCTCCCAAAGAACTTTTGCCACCCAAAGAAGGGCAGGAAAATGAACCTGTTCCTCTGCTGCATGGAGATAGAATAACTGTAGAGATCCTAAAAGGGAAGGAGGATATTAGCCAGACGACTTCAGTGCACTCAGCCCATGCTGTGAAACATGATGATGTTGCAGTAACTAGTAAAATTTCTTCCAAGGAACTCCAGGAGCAAATTGACAAGGAGATGTATTCTTTGTGTCTTCTAGCAACATTTATGGGTAAGTAAACCTCAGCTTTCCTTCCTAGGATTTAGAAACATCCCTAAATCTTGAGTATATAAAACTAGAAAGACAGTTTGAACATCTGAAGTCTAAGTGTAAGTTCATAAAATGACCTTCATGCATCTACATTTTTGTGTTTTAAAAATAATGAAAACACCCTGTTCTTGCTTTTTAACCATACAATACTTTGTTTTGGCTTTGAGGGGCATTTGAATGCTAATTACCAGTACAATCCTATGCATGTCTCTTACGTGGGGGATGAAAAGCAACTTTTTTAACATTCCAGTTCTTATGCCTTCAGTTGTGTAAAAGATGAGCTTTGTTCAATGGGCCCTTTCACCTTATTTCTTCCTCATGTTGGGATTCACTAGTATTTCTGCGATGTGATGGTTGAATTTCGACATAAATAATTATAGAATAGATCAGTTGAAATCAGTGGAATTTAAATTAGTGATGGCTAATTTATTCCATTAACCTTTTCTGCTCTTAAGCATTTCCTAGTCCAGACTTTGTATGCCTGGATTTGCAATTTTAATCGCATCTCTTTGCCTTTCCATGAGTATATTTCTTAAAACATATGTGTGAATGTATAAAACATTAGCTGTCTTATTCACTGGAACACAATTGTTACCTTTCTAAGGGAAGCTGTAAAAGAATAGTGTTTAATTTAATATGTAGTCGATATTTACTGTTTTGATGTGTCATTGATATAGCAAGATGGTGTTCTTGAAACATGCTTATGTTTCAAAGTAAAATTGCTTGTTAAGGAATTTGGTTATATACACTCTAACAAACAATGTTCCTTTCAAATCCAAGCATGTTTTAAGTGTACCCTGCTACATAAAGAATGACACTACACCAGGGGTCCTCAAACTTTTTAAACAGAGGGCCAGGTCACAGTCCCTCAAACTGTTGGAGGGCTGGATTATAATTTTTTTTAAAAAAATGGATTAATTCCTATGCACACAGCGTATGCCTTATTTGTAATGCAAAAAACACTTAAAAGCAATACAATAATTAAAATGAAGAACAATTTTAACAAATATAAACTTATTGGCTGATGAGATAGGATTGTTGTTGTTGTGTGCTTTCAAGTCATTTCAGACTTAGGTTGACCCTGAGCGAGGGCCGGGTGAATGACCTTGGAGGGCCGCATCCGGCCCTTGGGCCTTAGTTTGAGGACCCCTGCACTACACCAAAAACAATCTTTGGTGCATTAAGTGCAATTCTTTTATTTTCTTCCATAGGGATACATTGACACTATGTATCAAGTGTTTTTCTGCTACAGGCAGACCTATAGAAGCTTCTATTTTAAGAAACCTTTTAAACTAAATTAATTGGCAAAGCTACAAGTAAAACAAATGTCTTGTAACCTTTCCAGGGTATATGACATCAAGATCACTGCTTGGTTTCCAGCTAGCTGATGCAATATTTTAAGCAATGTTTTGCTGCAGTAAACAAACAAATAAAAGCCTTTGACAATGCATTAAAGTAATGAAACTTTTGATAACTGTAGAATGGGCCAAAGTTTCCAGATTGGCTGCTTGCATCACTCACAATGATATTCAACTCCGTTGCTTACATCTGAAAATTAAAACTACATATTATACACTACATAAAATGTTACAAGGACCATTTCAAATAAATGGGAAGTTCCAGTCTGCAATCTTGTGAATTGAAAGTTTAACAATCCTGTATGCTTATTTCGGAAAATGAAACTGAATAGAAGCCAAGAATCAAAAGTGAAACTGTCAACTTGGTGAACTTTAGATATTAAGACATAAGTGAAACTGGCTTGCATTGTTGACTCCAGTGCTGTCAATACAAGGGGAGTGGTCCGGAAGAGGCTGTGTCAGACAAGAAGATGGGTGGGATGCATTTTTATGCGTTTAAAGCAAGAAAAAAGCCCAACCATGATTAGGATGGCTTCCAGGCTCTATGATGCTTCATCTCACCACCCCCCAAAAGTATGAATCCTCTTTCCTGGAAGCCTCCAGAAGAGATAGTTAATGTTTAAATATCCTGCAGGCCCCTTGCACTAATTTTTTTGAAAAGTTTTTCAAAATCTGAAGTGGGTTAAGGCTCATGTCTTCTTTCTTTTAATAATGAACATTTTGGGAGTTTGTGCAGCCCCCAGAGGGATCCAGGGACAGTTGCTCATTCCAGTTTCAAGTAAATCTTAATTCTCACTGTGTCAGAACTTGATAAAAACTATGATTTGTTCATATTATGGTCAAAAGAAGTCATGATATAACCACATTGTTTGATCATGATTTGTTCAGTAACTAAAGCCGCTCCGAGCCCCAGGGGAGTGGCAGCATATAAGTTCAAATAAATAAATAAATAAATAAATAAAAGCGTAGCAAATAAGCTTCCAGATTGGCTGTGACAGGAAATTGGTTCAAAAGCAGAGGTTTCTAGGAAAGGAAATAGGTCATTGACTAAGGTAGAGGTATATGCAGCATCCTTAAAGTTCATTCTTGTAATGATAAATCATAGTCTTTTAGCTCTGAGTTAGACTATAGTGGTACCACATGGAATAGTTTTGGTAATTTACTTGACCATCATCCTTTGTAAAATTCTCTGGCCTGAGCTTTTTATTAAGGTAGACTGACTTCTATTTTTACTGCTTACAGTTGAGGTAGCCAAACACTTTTCAGAGCACACAGATCTTGTTTACTTTTAGTGAAATGCCTGTCATTACATTCTGTTTTGCTTTCCCTTTTGCAATATGAGACATAACACCCAATTAAGCTAAAGGAAGTGTGATCTATGCTCCTTTATTTCCTTTCTCTTGTGTGGCTTGTGTTTGATTTTACTGTTTTTAAAAAGATATTTGAAATAATTTTATACTTAACAGCACAACAGCTTTAGTAATAGCAGACTGGAAAGATGATGAAAAGCCTGATTATTTAATAAAACAAATGGAGGAGCTAATTTTATATAAATTGCTGGTGTATGACGTGGCCAATGTACACTGGATTTTACGGGTTATGAATCACATGTTCCTGTCCCAAGTCTCAGCTCCCACAATTGGCCATTCCTGCTGTAAGCGTAAAGAGTAGAAGAACTTTGTATAGTGGAGATATACAAACAAACATCAGAGACACTTCATATTTTGGTTACAGTTCATTGCCACCATTCTTATGGTCCAAAGTCCAGCTTAACTGCTTTCATTTTCCTAACAAAAGGGTTTTAGTGAATCTTGGAATTGTCAGATTAAAGTAGTGGAGATCAGATGTTAACTGATATAAACAAGGATAAATTAGTGGGGATATATGAGCAACATGCCCATTACTGTGACATAGAGTGTATAGACAGAGCATTGTGTATTTCAGGGATTTATTGGGGGATCAGCAGATCCTTATCAGAAAGGTCTAGTGAACTTTTATTATGTTCTTGTGTGTATGAGGAGAGAGGTATATATATGAAGTATGACATCTTCTAGATATTGTCAGCGGTGACTGCCGTAAGTCCCAGCTTGCATATCTGTTGGCCAAGGATCGTGGGAATTCCTGTGCAAAACACCTGTAGGATAGTAGATTGCCTTTCTGTGTTCTCAGAGCAGCTAGCTGAATTCTGTTTCTTAATCCTGGTAGAGTGTGGGAAAATGCTGAGAGAATTTGATGACATGATCTTTATGTAGATGGAGTTCACATTTTGCTATTCTAACTAGCCTTTCTTTGTATTTTACAGGTGAAGATGTATGGTCTTATGCAAAAGGGCTTCCTCACTTGTTCCAGCAGGGTGGTGTGTTCTACAATATAATGAAGAAAACAATGGGTATATCTTCTAACTTTGTGTTAAGAGTGTTTTGTTCCTGTCATTGATAAACTACCCTTTTGGTTTACATCTTTTCTGAAAAACTTGCTGATAACATTTTAACCGTATTGAATAGAGAAGAGAATTGCATTGTCTGTGAGAAAACATGAGATGATTTATATGATTCGTAATTACATTCACTGCTTCTTAGTGTTCATGTAGAAGAGCTCTGCTACTATCTAATTTCCATTGTAGCTAACGTGCAGCTTTCCAAATCAGGAGCTTTGATCACTGGGACGTACACAATGTATATATTGTTGAATTACTTACTCAACATAACTTTGTATTAAACATCTATTTCTGGGTTTCTGAATTTTGCTTTAAGAGCAAGAAATTAAAAATTCAGAAAGCAATGTAACAAAGTTTAATAGCTTATGCAATTTTTGGAATATTAATTCATAGAATACTAGCTGTACCTGTCACGCATTGTTGTGGCCAACCTTCCCTCCCTCTTTTTCTCCTCCTTTTTTCTCTCTTTCCTTCCTTCCTTCCTTCCTTCCTTCCTTCCTTCCTTCCTTCCTTCCTTCCTTCCCTTTTTTCTTTCATTCTCTCCTTCCTTCCTTCTTTCTCTTCCTCTTCCCTTCCTTTACCCCCTTTCTTTCCCTTTTGCTTTCTCTCCTTTCTTCCTTCTCTACTGCAGTCCTCCTGATCAATCTACCTACCTACCTACCTACCTACCTACCTCTATCTAGTCTATCTATCTTGTCTATCTGGAGGATTGCTGGAAGTTACAGTCCAGGAATAGGAAATTTAAAATATGCAGGGATTGGAATGCTCTCAATTCCAAGGAGAAGAAAGCTTGCAGCTTGGAAATAGTGCATTTGGATCATCCTCCTCTCCTAAAGGGCCTGGTCTAGGGGATTCTGGGAACTGTAGTCTGGAAGAAAGTGTGGATATGCTATTGTGTGTTTTGTTTGCCGGGGGAGTAATTTTGTGCATGTGTCTTTTTGCTTTCTTGGCTTTTTAAGTTCCTTCTGCTGTGTTTTTCAGTGTTTTTGTGAGTGATGGTCACTCATTGGCCTGATAGGTTTATTGTGTCCAAATTTCGTGTCAATTTGTCCAGTGATTTTTGAGTTATGTTAAAACTACAAACAAACATTACATTTTTATTTATATAGATAACATACAATATGACTGAAGGGCAATAGTATAAAGCAGTGGTTCTCAACCTGTGGGTCCCCAGATGTTTTGGCCTTCATCTCTCAGAAATCCTAATAGCTGGTAAACTGGCTGGGATTTCTGGGAGTTGTAGACCAAAACACCTGGGGACCCACAGGTTGAGAACCAAAGCATGACTAAATAGGTTAAATTTAGCTTGAAATTGTCAAAGTGTTGTATTTGGTTTGGTAGCCTAGAGGTTGTCTGTTTTTGTTTAGAATTTGAGACTCTTATTTTATTGTGGATATTCATGTTTGAAAAAGCTGATTAACCAGCTTGAGCTCTGCATCATTACATGTAGTTATATCAATCTATATAAAAGCCCAGTTTTAGCAGAGCTGTTAAAAAAAACCCTACAACTCTTTGATTCATATACACGTTTGCAAAGTGACATTTCCAAATAAACTCTTTTCATACCCAGTGTTTGTGTTACAGTAATTTTTAAAGCTAAGAAAACAAATTTATGAATGCATTTGTGTACGTTAATTGTTTTTTAATGTGTATTATTCCAATTTCTAATATATTTTATATATAAACCAGAAGATTAGGTAACACAGATTGCATCTTTTGCACTGGAACTGTACAGTACAACTTTGTGGTCAACTTCCACTGGTGATGCTGGAGGACCTAGGGTTTCCAAGAGAAAGGAACACATCTTTAGGAATTTCTAGTTCTTCCAGTGCAGTTCTATGGTCAATTTCCAGTAGAAGTTGACCATTGTTGTATACGGTTCTGGCCCAGCTTACTTGTCCGAACGCATCTGCCTCTACGTCCCACCTCGTAACTTAAGATCATCCAGGGAGGCCCTGCTTTCACTCCCTCCAACATCGCAAACGCGGCTGGTGGGGATGAGAGACAGGGCCTTCTCGGCTGTAGCCCCCGCCTGTGGAACACGCTTCCAAGTGAAATACGATTGACCCCATCCCTCCAGGCATTCAGGAAGAAATTAATATCTTGGTTTTGGGACCAGGCTTTCGGACAATAAACATAAAGCAGCACTTTGACTGGAAATGGATTGGCAAGACGATATGTATGAGGATACAGTTTTATGGTTCTATCAGTGGGTTTGTGGACTGAGTATTGTTTTAATGACTTATGATAATTTGGTTATAACTAACTGCTATTGCTTTAACTCTGTATGTATTTATGGTTTTATACTGTGTTATTGATTGTGACATTGAATTGCTGCCTTTGTTAGCTGCTCTGAGTTCCCCCTCAGGGGTTGAGAAGGGCGGGGTAAAAATGCTGTAAATAAAATAAATAAATAATTGAAGGACTTAGAAATTCCTAGAGAGATATTCTTGCTAGTAAAAAAAAAATAACAATTTCCTTTCACAAGGGTCCCTTGCCCCTAACCCTCATAAATGTGTGGGGGTCCTATTCATCTTGATTTCCACCTTTAGAAAGCTGATCAACAGGTTTTTTTTTTCCTTGTTGGCTTTGTAGTTGTGTTTTTAGGCTCTCTGATTGGGCAGTCTTATGTTTGATTAATGTGTTTATGAGTTCTGGTTTTGAAGAAAAGAAAGGATATATGATGATGATCATAACAGAAATAATAATGTGAAAGTAGTATTTTGTTTTATGGCTAACTACTGTCTATCTTGTTTGCTGATAATGTTCATAAATTTAAGTCCTCTTTTTTTCCCCTTCTCCCTTCTCATAGGCCTGGCTGATGGTAACCACTGTACTTTTCCATATTTGCCTGGCAAGACCTTTGTTTACAATGCTGCAGAAGATAGGTTGGAACTCTGTGTCGATGCTGCTGGGCATTTCCCTGTTGGTTCTGATGTTGAAGACTTGGTTAAGGAGGCACTAAGTCAAGTGCGTGCTGAGGCTTCTTCAAGAAGCAGAGAAGGCAGTCCTTCACATGGGGTCCTAAAATTAGGGAGTGGTGGAGTTGTTAAAAAGAAGTCAGAGCAACTTCATAATGTAACTGCATTTCAAGGAAAAGGCCATTCTCTGGGAACTGCAACTGGCACTCAGCAACATCATCAAAGAGCAAGGGAAGCTCCACTTTCAAGAAAGCAAAGCTCAAGCCTAGATTTCAGTCCCAGTTCCACTAAATCTGAGCCTCCTGTGTTTGGAGGCGATTCTGGAAACAGTGATCTTATACGGATAGCTCCTGGAGTTGGAACAATGAGAGACAGCAGGCAGCTGGATCCTAGTTTGATTGAAGCACAGAGAAAAAAGTTGCAGGAAATGGTTTCTTCGATTCAAGCTTCAATGGATAGACACATGCGGGATCAGAATACTGAGCAATCGGCAACAAATGATTTCTCTCAAAGGAAACTGGAAGCAGCAAGTTCATCTATTAAAACAAGGGGCCCTCAGACTGGTTTGCCTGAGTCATTTACATTATCAAGCAGCAGTGGACATCTGAATACAGAACCAACGGATAGTAACATGTCAAACGCGGTGGGAACAACATTCCCCACGAGATCAAAAGCTCAAAAAGGAAACTCTGTTGAAGAACCTGAAGAGATGGATAGTCAAGATACAGAAATCAGTAATACAACTGAGCCAATGGATCATTCTTGAATAATTCACAGCTGATAAAGAGATGAGAAATTACTGTGCAACTGTAATATTTGTTGGCTGGGCCACATAAATTTAGTCATTGAATCTTGTATGTTTCAAAGATTATCTTACTCATTGCATGATAGCAAGTATGTGATAGACAATAGCTTTTAATATGCCATTATTCTGCCCAGGGTAGCTCTCGGTTACTGTAAAGTAGTTATTAGGATATGCACTGAGATGAAAAGCTGCTGTAGATGTGGGTTAATTTTTGGATTATTTTAATTCCATTAATGTCTTAATTTTTCAGCTCATGTGAAATTACTATATTTTCAGATTAGTATGTGAAAACAAAATCTGGCAAATGTAGAATGTTTTGTCAGATATTGATTCATTCAGAAATCCAGCATAAAGAGACATTCCTTTATCTGAAGACTTGCACTCATTCAGATTTTCCTAAAATACCCAAACATACTCATTGAGATCTTTTTAAAGTTCTAAATTTAAGGAATGATAGGCAAAAGCACTATTTAGTATAAAATGAAGCTGAAGCAAAGGGGATGTAGAAATGCATGGCAGTCTGGGCCAGCGCAGTTTTGTCATTACTCTGTTGGCAAGTGATTGCATGTTCAGTTTTGAGCTGATAAGGTAACATTATGTGTTTTACATTCAAAGGCAACTGTTTTAAGAAACTACAGCAGGCTAAATAAAATTGGTTTGTGCAAGAACAATTTGATAAGCATCTGCCAGTTATCTCTGCTGGCAATTAATATTTCCTGAGCATGTTGGATTAATGGGATTTTTTCCTCAATGATATGATAAATCAATTTTAAGCTCCCTGGGAATTGTTTAAGGTCGATTGTTTTATGCACTACTTTGGTCAACTGCATCCACTAAAACAGCCTATTCATCTGCTGTACAGTGCTAATTTTTAAGAAGCAGCTATTGTATTTTCTCCATAACGATAGAATGTTTATCTTGATACTAATGTTGCACTTTTGCCTCTTTGCATATTTCTACTTTATGTGCATTATTACTACTTCATCAGATGAAAATGAATTTGAAATGGGGAAAAATTATTCAAAAGGATATAGAAATCTCAGATGCTTAGTTACTGAAGTAAGTGCTAGTGCTCACACAAATTTCACCTGTTCCACAGCTATTAAGTTTGTATTATAACTGTTTGTACTCTGAAAATATGCTCACATTTTATGCAGTTAGAATCACACAAGAAAAATTTGAAACAATGTCCCATTGTAATTAAAGATTTTTATTTTTTTATATGGGAAATTAATTGATGGCACACTTCCTCAATTATTTCAAGTGTATTAATCCATTAAAACACCCCTTTTTTGCTTTTCTCATACATATTATATCACTTAATGCACTGCTTACATATAAAGTATACAAATCACATTTTCATGAATAACTGATTTTAATTATATTTTTGCTGTTTAATTTGGTCAAGACATTGAATAAGTGATATAAATATGGATTTTAAAAAGGGATCCATGCACACGGAGAACAAGATGCTTGATACTAATTATAGAAAACTATTGTAATTATTAACCCCCAAGTCTGTGATCATTATCCACAGAAACTATCCATTCATAAGGGATTGTGTGAGAATGAGAGAGCTTTCTGGCACCATGAGAGTCCATTTTTAAAAAAAGTAGCTTGAACTATAGTGTGAGATTGGGGTTACGATACACAAGAAAGCAGGCCTGGGGTATCAGTACTGTATTTAAATCCTTTTCAAAATTGAATAAACAACTGTGGATTCCATCAAATCACCCTCTGAATTATAATGCTTGTGAGGAGAATTCTTTCTTTTAGAGTTAATAACTTCACAAAACATGAATCTTCAGGATTCCTTGGGCATAAAGCATGGGAGTTTGGAATTGGTTTGAATGTATAGTGTTGATAAACTTGATAGTTCGGTGACTTTTTAATGGAGACATACTAGGGTGGCACTGTATGGTATAGGAAAAAGGATGTTCACAACATTGCTTAAAATTCATGCCTAAATGTGCAAGAGCTGTGAAATTTGAGAGGCATAACTAGCTTTATAATGTAATCTGGTTGTTTTAACTAAGAGTGAAGTAAACTTTTTTTTCTCCTTTGTAGAAACCTGTTCCCTTGAGAAATGGTGGCATAACTCTTTTCTCCTTTCCGAAAAATAAAAGTAGAAGTTACTCACTTTTGTATCCTCTCCTTTGTGTGATGTGTGAAGAAATTTTTGCAATGCTCACTTTGTAAAATGAAAATGTTTGAGACTTGGCTCTTTTGAAAATACCGCTTCATCTGTAAATGTTTGAGAGAAGAGTAAAATTAAGTGTTTAATAGAGCTGTGCACTCAGTGTGTAGGCTGGCCCTTATCAAAAGCGATTAGATCTGAAGTGCACAAAATAAATGCCGAAATCCTATTTACTGATAGCACCTGCTTGCAATTCATTTGCTGAGTTTCATTAAGTGAGCTTCCTTAAGCACATGCAACTAGCCTCATTATTATAGCTTTAACAATTGAGTGTCAGGTAAAGTAAAGTCATGGAAATTGTCTGTAGAGATGAGAAAGTTAAATGCATCTGGAACAAGTTTGCTTCAGAAGTTGTAAAGATTTGTCTGTATGACTTGCCTATGGGTTTCCTGGGTTGTTTATATATGTCCAATTTAACAGTTGGAAGACAGCTGTATTAGCAGATCAATGCTGTTGGGTACTTCCTTGTTGGTTCTTCCAGATTAAACAAGCTAGTTCTTAAATAGCAACGTAATTTCATGTGTGTGTCATGATATGAACACAAAATAGGATAAGAGTAGCATAGCAACATTCAGTATGCTCTTCTAAGGAGGAAGTAGACTCTATACAATAAAAAAATGAAGTGCGTTTTAGAAATTAGTAGATTTAGAGCATACTGGTGATTTTCCAGTTAGATGGCAAAAGTATCCAAGGTATGTGAGGTACTCCATCATATTGTTGCTCACTCTTTCTGTGGAAAGTTAAGCTATTAGTATCATAGAGTTGTTCCACGGCTGCAAAATGACTTGCTCAGTTAATTTACCTTTGAGGTGTATGCAGCGTACTCTTTTATACAGATAGAAAACAATTCTGGTGTTTTAATCAATAGAGGTTAACCCTTAGTCTCCACATTCTGTTTCTTTCTCATGGTTTTAAGATTCTGCATACTTACTTGAAAATGAGTGGTTACAATGGACAGTAGTTTGGATTTGATGCATTATGATCCTACTTGGTTTCCATTGTATGCTTTGGCAAAAAGGAACACTGCTGCAACTGCATACTGGTCATACTTTAGAAACAATATATTTTCAAGATAAAAATGACTGCCTTTTTCTTTTGAAGAGATAAATTGCAATGTGCAGTCAACTAGAGATCATGGATGACTGCTCTATTTATACATTCAGTCCAGCTGGATTTTATATAAGTCTCATGCATATATATTATCCCTTAAGGTCTCGTTAATTCTACTTCAACTTTGACATGTAAGTTTAGGTCCCAAGCCTAAGCTACCTTTTCCTTGCATAATTTTGAATTCTTGTATGTTAAGCGGAATTTGGCAGCCATAATATTGGGATTGACGTTATTTGCCAGCAGAAGGCTTTGCTCCATCATATTACCTTATAAATCAATTGTATCTTAAGGTGTCCCATTTGACATTCTTTAAGGCGGCATTCCTGCTTTGCCATTCTGATTGTAGTAAGATTGAAAGGCTGAATGGTGATTGATATTTTTAGATTTTATTTTAATGAAGATTATTACCAGGAAGAAAAATAGTGCACTTTTGGAAGTAATTGGTATAAAATTGTATAAATAAGTATTAGTTCTGTATATATTTAGGAATCCTTTTAAAACAGCAAGTGCTTTACAAACTGACTTCAATTAGACTAGCAATGATACCATGTTCACAATGCTGGCTGTTCAGCACATTTGGATTTTATTTGTGATTGCTGTACTAATTTTTTTTAAATCTGTAATGTAACAATAGTGTATTATAACTGTGTACTATATTACACTTTACTGTACAGTACTTGGAATTTTCTTTGATTGCAATATTAAAAATCTAAGCTGAACTACACTTTTCTATTTTCTGTAGCAGAATTACTAGAAGAGATCATGTGTGTGTGTGGCAGTTTGCTGACGAGGGAGGGGGGGGGGAGGTGGATGGGAAAGGAGCTTCCTTATAAAACCACCTTCATGTAGAAAGGTTTGCACCTGAACTGATTTGTTCCACTGACTTTCGGCTGGGATTACAACAGACTTCACATAATACCTTAATAAAATGAAAAAGAAGACTCCTCAATACTCTGAGTGCACTTAGGAATGTGGAGGTGGCATTTCTGGCCAATTTTTATTTAATTGTGGGATGTGCTATAGACTGAAAAGCTACTCAAAATCATCCTTGGAAGCAGAACATTCTTATCTGTGCTGTGAACAGTTGTTTCATCCAGTGATTCTTAATGTCTTTTAAGTTTTTGAATTGAGGGTAGAGGACTGACTTGGGGACTTAGGCAGAAATTGGAATAATTTTTTAGAGGACTGCATTAAATTAAATGGGAAAAGACTTGCATTTACTAAATATTAGGCCTGCATCTTGCTCCTCACAAAGTTTGGATTTTTTTTTTTCATGTCAGGAGCAACTTGAGAAACTGCACGTTGCTTCTAGTGTGAGATAATTGGCCGTCTGCAAGGACGTTGCCCAGGGAACGCCCGGATGTTTTGATGTTTTACCATACTTGTGGGAGGCTTCTCTCATATCTTCCCATTGGGAGCTGGAGCTGACAGAGGGACCTCATCCACGCTTGCCCTGGATTTGAACCTGCGTCCTGTTGGTCTTCAGTCCTGCTGGCACAAGGGTTTAACTCACTGCGCCATGTATAAAGAGGACTTTCAGGCACTCCAGCCAATTCTTGGCCTCTCTCAGATGTGCACTGTTACTGGTTCTTGAATGAAGGAGCAAACCTGGACATTCTTTGGTGTTTATTAAAATTGTCAAGAAAACTTACAGAGGAATGTGTTGTGATTGTTTTGGCTTTGAGGACAAGCATTCAATATGTATTTTATTATGCTAGTTGAATTTATCTTTGGAATTGATTTTATTATTAACTTCAGTGGAGAAAATCAACTTATCAGTGATGGGTATTAAAGGTTCATCTTCTCTTTTAACGTATAGCCTGTTACTCAAAAGAAAAATATGCTTTAAGAATTGATACTTGACCAGCAGCCTAACTGAACACTTTCCACAATGGTGATAATATAAAATCTGGTATGAGTTATATGCCTACCATTTTTGTAACACTTAAGAATGTTGTTTTTAAAGAAACAACACTAAGCAAATCATATAGGGAAGTACACTAAATAGGTATGGACTTGCATGTTATCAGTTTCTGAATTCTTTAAAGCAGGCATGGGCAAACTTCGGCCTTCCAGGTGTTTTGGACTTCAACTCCCACAATTCCTAACAGCCTACTGGCTATTGGGAATTGTGGGAGTGGGACTTCAACTCCCACAATTCCCAATAGCCAGTAGGCTGTTAGGAATTGTGGGAGTTGAAGTCCAAAACACCTGGAAGGCTGAAGTTTGCCCATGCCTGCTTTCTATGTTTTGAATCATTGAATTCAATATTTTAACAAAACGAAAAACTTCTTCAACTATCAATGGTAGAATGTAAACAGTGGGTTGCTGTTAATTTTCCGGACTGCAGACCATGTTCCAGAAGCATTCTCCCCTGACGTTTCGCCCATATCTATGCCAGGCATCCTCGGAGGTTGTAAGGTTTGTTGGAAACAAGGCAAGTGGGGTTTATATATCTGCAGAATGTCCAGGGTGGGAGAAAGAACTCTTGTCTGTTTGAGGAAAGTGTAAATGCTGCACTTGATCACTTTGATCAGCACTGAATAGCTTTACATCTTCAAGGCTTGGCTGCATCCTGCCTGGGGAGGAATGTAAACAGTTTAGTTACCAAGGCTGATACAAGACATTTTGCTGCCTGAGGCAAAACAGCCACTCAACCAAGTCAAGATAAAAAGTACTTAACGCTGGCCTAATAATTTTGGCACAAAGCAAAATACTCTTCCAGTGCATCTCTTCACCTTCAGTTCTAAAAATACAACAATTTAAAGAATAATTTTCTACTTTTTCATGGCACTCTGGACCTGCATAAGACAGCTTCCTCACTGCTTAATTATGGGAGTAGTCTTGTTTTCTGTTTTAAGTCTGGTTTATGTCCAGCTGCTCAGGTGGGTTGGGTAATAGGTGCAGCTCCACATTGACTGTGGAACAGTCCCCTTAAAAAGGGAGTTATGATCTTTGTCATTCAAAATGTGTGAGAGGAGAAAGTGACCTATACAAATTTGCACTCTTGTTGTAAGCAACATTCTGGCTGATTTATTTGATGCATCACATATAAGCAATCTGTTTTGCTGTGGATCATAAGTCTATGCCACAAGAGATCAACTGAACCAAACATCTTCCTTGAAAGCTGTAAACAGAGTGATATCCTGCTTGATTTAACTATCGATTCCAGATCAAATAAAAATGAATTCCTAGGTAGACACAAAAACTGGCTACAAATTCAAATCAGCTTTGGAGTTTTGTTATTTCCTCACTACACATTTGATTAGGATTTGCATAGGTTAACAATTTTTCCCCCTTTCTATCTGCACGCTCCTTTCAGCTGACCATACTGGAAACTCCTTCATGCTATTTCTGGAACTGGTAACTCATGAGTCTGCGTTAAATGTTCAAAATAGAAATGATCATAATTCATCTGTTATAAGATCCATTAGGGACTGTATAACTCTTTCTTTGAAGGCTTCCATTTTAAATTTATGACACATTATTCTTTGTGTAAAAGCAACAGAAGAGCAGGGACTCTACAGAACGCTTCCTCTTCTACGTACATTCAAAATATTTTGAGCCCTAAACTTTTCAGCTTTCAATGTTGAACTTACAACATAACAGAATGAAGTAAAGAGCTATCCAATAACCCCAATACGTGCTGTGTTACAAAGTACATCATATTTTCTTATCTGTTATAAACAGACTGCAATGTGTCTCGCTGCCATTCCCTAGATTGAACACTGCGAAAGCCATCCACTGCATGGCTATCAGCCTCCTCCCAGTAGACTCAAATCAAGGAAAAGCTTCATGAGAACCACCACTCCTCTTAATCTTCCCGCAGCAACAACAAGAATATCCCTCTGGAAGCTAAACCAAGAATGGGCAACTTTGAAGTCCCTGAACAGACTCCAAAGTGAAATGGGCAGATCAAAAGACAACCTACCTAAAAGAATCCTCCACCTTGTGTGACTGTGGAGCAGAACAGTCAACTCTGCATCTGCATGCCTGTCCACAATGTCCTGCTTCATGCACAGAGGAAGAATTGTTTGAGGCTAGAGACAATATGGTCGTTGCTGCCCGTTTTTGGTCAAAAGATATTTAGCTGCTTGTGCTCCTTCTGTTTTTATCAGTTTTATACTAATTTATGCAATGCTTTTGATACAAAATAAATAAATAAATAACCCACAATATCAAGGCAAATAATCCATAATATGGATTATCTGAGTCCATATTGCCATATAATCCAGTTCATATTTAGCCACTTGTGCTCCCTTTATTTTTAGAAGTTTTAGACTAATTTATGCAATTTTTTTTGTCGTGTCAGGAGCGACTTGAGAAACTGCAAGTCGCTTCTGGTGTGAGAGAATGGGCCATCTGCAAGGACGTTGCCGAGGGGATGCCTGGACGATGTGATGTTTTTATCATCCTTGTGGGAGGCTTCTCTCATGTCCCCGTATGAGGAGCTGGAGCTGATAGAGGGAGCTCATCTGCCTCTCCCCAAATTCGAACCTGCAACCTGTCGGTCTTCAGTCCGGCCGGCACAGGGGTTTAACCCACTGCGCCACCGGGGGCTCATTTATGCAATGCTTTTGATACAGAATAAATAAATAAATACAATCCCCAGATATGTCGGTAGCTTGGTTGTTGGAGATGTGAAAATGAAATGTTCATAGCTCAGTCATGGCATTAGCTTACTAACACTCTGTTTTGTGCTGAAAACCAACTGTAATGGTTCAGCATTGAGACAAATGCAGCATTGACCAAATATGAATCAAGGAACATGAAAGGCACTGCAAACTAATGCAACCAGAGAAGTCAGCCATAGCAGAGCACTCGGTGAACCAACCTGGACACAGCATATGTAAGAATACATATGGACTAGGATGATTTTAAATGGTGTATTTTAATATTTTGATTTTTTTTTATGTTTATGTATTGTATGTGAATTTGTGTCCCGGCAGTGAATGTTTGCCATGTTTATGCTGTGCTCCGCCCTGAGTTCCCTTTGGGGTGAGAACAGTGGAATATAAATGTTTTAAATAAAAAAAAAATACATAAATGCTGGACCACTCTAACAACTACCATATCAGACTACTCAGAAATCCACAAGCATGTGGACAATATCAACAGAAAGGAGGAAAATATGAAAATGAACAAAATCTGGGTACCAGTATTTAAAAACTCTAAAATCAGGACAGTAAATGAAGAGCAACACTCAAAAAACAGGGGAATTCCAGACAAGAATCAATCAGGGCCTGCTAACACCTCCCAACAAAGGATCCCCCGAGGCAGCAACCAGCCAGGCTTTGAAGCTTCAGCCTCACTTGCCTAGTTTCCAACAGACCTCACAACTTCTGAGGATGCCAGCCATAGATGTGGGTGAAACGTCAGGAGAGAATGCTTCTGGAATATGGCCATACTGCCCGGAAAACTCACCCTCTCCAATGCCAGAAATACAGCTTAATGGTGTAACATTAGAAAATGTTGACCATTTCCGCTACCTTGGCAGCCACCTCTCCACAAAAGTCAACATTGACACTGAAATACAGCACCGCCTGAGCTCTGCGAGTGCAGCATTTTTCCGAATGAAGCAGAGAGTGTTTGAGGACCGGGACATCCATAGGGAGACCAAGGTGCTTGTTTATAAAGCTATTTTCCTCCTAATCCTGCTATACGCCTGCGAGACATGGACTGTCTACAGACGTCACATGCAACTCTTGGAACGATTCCATCAGAGTTGCCTCCGGAAAATCTGGCAAATCTCTTGGTTAGACAAATGTCAGCGTGCTGGAAGAAGCAAAGACCACCAGCACTGAAGCGATGGTCCGGTCACGTTTTCCGGATGCCCAACCACCGTCTCCCAAAGCAGTTGCTCTACTCCGAACTCAAGAGCGGAAAACGGAATGTTGATTGAAAGATGGGCTTATTGTGAACCTTAAAAACTGTGGCATAGACACTGAGAACTGGGAAACCTGTGAGACACAGTTGGAGGTCAGCTGTGACCAGCAGTGCTGTAGAATTTGAAGAGGCACAAATAGAGGGCGAAAGAGAAGACAACGAAGGATTGCCTAAGTAAAGTAAGTAAGTATAAAAACTATGTCCCAAATGCTGTTTTTGATAATATTAAACTGCATTTAAATATTTAATAAACGTGTGTTCACACTATTAATGTACACATTGAAGAAGAGTGTGTCTGTACTACTAGAATTTCCAACCCAGAATGATTTGGGCCTCTCTTAAGGTAATTGGTTCCATTGATTTGGCCTAGGGATGACAAACCTGGGCCTTGCAGGTGTTTTGGACTTCAACTCCCACCATTCCTCACAGCCTCAGGCCCCTTCCTTTTCGCTTAAGCGGCTGAGGGGGAAAAGGAAGGGGCCTGAGGCTGTGAGGAATGGTGGGAGTTGAAGTCCAAAACACCTGCAAGGCCCAAGTTTACCTATGCCAAGTTTAGAACAATTCACAGGGTAGCGAAAGTATAGGGCAAAAACACGAGCTCGCACACAGCGTCCCTTCGATAGCTCAGCTGGTAGAGCGGAGGACTGTAGAGGCATTGGCTGCTTGCGGGAATCCTTAGGTCGCTGGTTCGATTCCGGCTCGAAGGAGATTTGATTTTTTTTTTTTTTGGTTGTTCATCCCCCGTCAAAAATATTGCAATTATTTTATTTTATCCTTAGGTGCAATTATTTTATTTTTCCTATTGGGTTTTCTCTCATTTCCCAAGAGGAGAGGGAAAAAACTACATTTCCCAGCAGGCTTTGCGCCCTTTTTCCCTGTCCCGAGCCCGCCGCCACTTTCTCCCCTTCTCCAATATCGCGCACCCTCCCTCCCTCCTCCTCCCTCCCTTAGCCCCGCCCCCTCGGGTGGGTCGCGTGCTCTCGGAGGCAGCCAATGGGGAGGCAGTCCGCGTGCGCAGATTCAAACGGTGGCTCTGGAAAGAGGCTGGGCGCGAGATTCGGCGGCAGGGACGAAAAAGAGAGGCAGCAGCAGGAGCAGCAAAGGAGAAGAGGCCGGAGGAGGAGGAGGACCATGTCTCCCAGGCGAGGCCGGGGCTAAAAGCTGCCTTTCTCCCGCTCTCCTCCCTCCTCTGCCATTCCTTCAGTTCGGCCGGCGGTGACAGCCCCGCTTCCCTCCTCTTTCCGCCTTATGGTGCCCTCAAAGGATGGCGAAGAGGCCGCGAAGGTGAGCCACAACTACTCCTCTCCCCCTCAGGAGGGATTCTTTCTCCATCCTTCCTTCCATCTATCCATCCACACGCTTTGAATGCCTTGGCTCGAGGGAGGGGTCGTTAGGCGGGTCCTCAGCACTCTTTGGCAGAGAAGGCTTTCAGAGGACAGGCAGTCCCCGAGTTGCGAACAAGATGGGGTTGTTCTACAGCAGTGCTTCTCAACCTTCCTAAGGCCGCGACCCCTTAATACAGTTCCTCATGTTGTGGTGACCCCCCCCCCCCAATTATAAAAAAATATTGTTGTCGCTACTTCAGAACTATTATTATGAATTGTAATGGAAATATCTGCCTATGAACCCACCAGGACTCTAAGATCTTCTGGGGAGGCCCTGCTCTCGATCCCGCCTGCATCGCAAGCATGGCTGGCGGGGACGAGGGACAGGGCCTTCTCTGTGGTGGCCCCTCGGCTGTGGAACGCCCTTCCCATGGACATTAGATCAGCTCCTACATTAATGGTGTTTCGAAGAAAACTAAAAACCTGGCTGTTTGAACAGGCATTCGGATAAATAGTGCAATTGAACGATGAATATAGGAACGGATTTATGGATGACGAATTGGATCACGATTTTAGTTACGAGATGCTAATGTGTTGTTATTGATGTGTCATTATTTGTATACTAGGCTGTTAATGGTTTTTAAATACTGTATGTTGTACGATTGACTTTTTTGCTCTTGTTGTGAACCGCGTTGAGTTGCCTACGGGCTGAGAAACTGCGGTATACAAGCAAAGTAAGTAAGTAAGTAAGTAAATAAATAAATATGCAGGATGTATTCTCATTCACTGGACCAAATTTGGCACAAATACTCAATATGCCTAAATTTGAATACTGGTGGGGTTGGGAAGGGGGATTGATTTTGATATTTGAGAGTTTAGTTGCTGGGATTTATAGTACAATCAAAGAGCATTCTGAGCTCCATCAACAATTGAATTGAACTAATCTTGGCACACAGACCTCCAATGACCAACAGAAATATATTGGAAGAAACCTTGAGTTTGGGAGTTGTTGTTCACATACATCAAGAGAGCACTGTGGACTCAAACAATGATAGATCTGGGCCAAACTTGGAGTTTGGGGAAAATAGGCCTTGACATTTGGGAGTTGTAGTTGCTGGGATTTATAATTTATAATTCACCTACAATCAAAGAGCATTCTGGACTCCACCAACGATGAACATGAACCAGACTTGGCTCACAGAAAATTCTGGAATGTGAACACTGGTGGGCATTGAGAGTTGTAGTTCACCTACATCAAGAGAGCACTGTGGACCCAAACAGTGATGGATCTGGACCAAACTTGGCACGAATACTCAATATGCCCAAATGTGAACACAGATGGAGTTTGGGGGAAATAGGCCTTGACATTTGGGAGTTGTAGTTGCTGGGATTTATAGTTCACCTACAATCAAAGAGCATTCTGAACTCCACCAATGATAGAATTGGGCCAAACTTCCTACGCAGAACCCCCATGAACAACAGAAAGTACTGTGGTTTTTGATGGTTTTTGGGGACTCCTCTGACACTCCTTTGTGACCCCCCCAGGAGTCCCGACCCCCGGGTTGAGAAACACTGTTATACAGGGTTGTTCTTAAGGTGAATTAGTATGTAAGTCGGAACAGGTACATTTTAAAGCAGGGGTCCTCAAACTTTTTAAACAGAGGGCCAGGTCATAGTCCCTCAAACTGTTGGAGGGCCGGATTATAATTTGAAAAAAATGAATGAATTCCTATAAACACCTCACATATCTTATTTGTAGTGCAAAAAAACACTTTAAAACAACGCAATAATTAAAATGATGAACAATTTAAACAAATATAATCTTAAAAGACAAGTTCCACCTTGTCTCCTGTGCTATCCTAATAATATAATATAATATATTGTATATGCGTATACTATTTATAATATTATAATGTAATCTATATATATAAAAATGCTCTGTGCATAATGAGTACCTTAAAAACAAAAGAACCAATGAACGAAATCACGCCAAATTTGGCAACAAAAAGTCTCACAGCACAAGGAATGACCATCACTCAAGAAATTATGATTTTGTCATTTGCTGGGATTTATAGTCCACCTACAATCAAAGAGCATTCTGGACTCCATCAATAATGGAACTGAACCAAACTTGGCTCATAGAACTCCCATGATCAACAGAAAATACTGGAAGGGTTTGGTGGGTATTGACCTTGAGTTTGGGAGTTGTAGTTCACCTACATCCAGAGAGCACTGTGGACTTAAACAATGCTGGATCTGGACCAAACTTGGAATGAATACTCAATATGCTCAAATGTGAACACTGGTGAATTTGGGAGAAAATAGACCTTGACACTTGCGAATTGTAGTTGCTGGGATTTATAGTTCACCTACAATCAAAGAGCATTCTGGACTCCACCAACAATGAAACTGAACCAGATTTGGCTCACAGAACTCTATGACCAACAGAAAATACTGGAAGGGTTTGGTGGACATTGAGAGTTGTAGTTCACATACATCAAGAGAGCACTGTGGACCTAAACAGTGATGGATCTGGACCAAACTTGGCAGAAATACTCAATATGCCCAAAATGTGAACACTGGTGGAGTTTGGGGAAAATAGACTATAACATTTGGGAGTTGTAGTTGTTGGGATTTATAGTTCACCTATAATCAAAGAGCATTCTGAACTCCACCAACAATAGAATTGGGCCAAACTTCCCACACAGAACCTCCATGACCAACAGAAAATATTGTGCTTTCTGATAGTCCTTGACGACCCCTCTGACACCCCCTCGCGACCCCTCCAGGGGTCCCGATCCCCAGGTTGAGAAATGCTGTTCTACAGGGTTGTTCTTAAGGTGAATTAGTATGTAAGTCGGAACAGGTACATTTTAAAGTGTGACTCCCTTCAAATGTATGTGTGTGAGTATATATATTTATTTACGACATTTCTATGTCGTAAATCTATATGTCATCTATCTATCTATCTATCTATCTTATATAAATAAAATGTAATAATAATAATAATAAACCTTTATTTATACCCCGAAGGACTCAGTGCAGCTTACAAGAGGCCGAGCCCAAATACATCAGTTAAAAACAGCAACAACAGCAATACAGACAGCAAAAAAACTCATAAACAAAGCAATAAACAGTAACAATAACACCACGATGCATTAAAAACCTATGGCAGGGCCAAATGTAATACTTAAAATTTTAAAAAATGCTGGGCATGACAAGGTGACATTACTAGGATACGTATTTGGAGAGAGATGGAGCGCGCAGACAATCCTGGTGGTTATGAGAGTGGTCCAGCACTTCTGTGTTCTCAAATAATATGCTGTGTCCAGGTTGGTTCACAGCATATTATTTGAGAACACAGAAGTGCTGGACCATTCTCACAACCACCATGTCAGACTACACAGAGAAGCCATTGAAATCCACAAGCATGTGGACAATTTCAACAGAAAGGAAGAAACCATGAAAATGAACAAAATCTGGCTACCAGTATTAAAAAACTCAAAAATTACAGCAGCAAAACAACAGGCACATAAAATCACTCTCAACAAGAGATTCCCCCCAGGCGCTTCCAGGCCATTGAATGCAAATCAAGGTGATCAGCTGAAACATTACCCTGGTCATTCCACAGATATATAAACCCATTTTTCCTACTTCCAACAGACCTCACTACCTCTGAGGATGCTTGCCATAGATGCAGGCGAAACGTCAGGAGAAAAATTGCCTCCAGAACATGGCCATATAGCCCGGAAAAACCTACAACAACCCAGTGATCCCGGCCATGAAAGCCTTCGACAATACATTGTCAAAAGCTTGTTTAAACAGGTAGTCTTCAACTGGTTCTTGAAAGATAACAGGGAAGGGGTAGTTTTAATTTCAATAAGGAGCTGGGATGGCCACCGTATTTGTGACAGTGGTGGCAACGAGAGAAGGTGTTTGTTTTGCTACCTGTACCGCTGTTCAGAAGATGTCACCTCACTTTCTGTTCCTGTGATAATTGAAAAATGTGAACAAGGATTGGTGATAAAGTTTCAGACACATTTTCCCTATGATAACTCTTCCAGGAGGGCACTTCCCTTTCCAGGGGTAGCTTTCTCTCCATTCCTGTTGCCTCACCCCTGTTCTTAACTATGAGTAGTTTGTAAGTGGATATTTGTAACTGAGGGGCTGCCTGTAAAGCCAGGAGCGCAGAGTTTCTGTGGCACCTGATCACCTTCCCCACTTCCTTTGTGTTCTATAAGTTTATCTCTTCCAAAAGATTTTGGATGTGTGAAAATATAATTTTCCTAAAATGCGTGTTAACACCACAGGTTCTGTGGCAGGATGATAAAACAAAAACAATATGTTTAAATAGTGTATAGTTAAATTTTAGTTGACTTAATGCCCAGTGCATCTATACTGTAGAATTAATGTAGTTTGACACCATTTTAAATTTTATGATTTCTCAGAAGTTTTATCACTGGGAGAAAACCATTGGAAGGTACTCATTATGGTACTGTTCCATTATTCGGGTAGAGGCCAAAAGGGGGCACTAGACAGAGTCCATTTTGTGTGTGTGTGCGGGGGGGGGGGGGGGGGGGGGGGAGTTGAAGGAGTAAGACAATTTCCCCTGTTTTTGCTGGTTATTCCCCCTCCCCATTTCCCATGTCATACACAAAGGTTGTTTCCGTGATGGTCACATGGATTGGGGGAATAGCAAGAAAACAGGGGGAAAGCCACCGCCTGGATGTTAGAACAGTGCCATAATTACCAATTGTGTTTCAGCCTACAGGAAGGGGCACTAGTTTTACAAGGTCTTTAGCCTTTTCTGCCAGAGAGTGTTGGTACCTCAACATACTACAAATCCTAGGAGTTCATAGCCCTGAGTCATGGCAGTTAAACTGGTGTAAAATTGTATCGTTCCTGCATTGTAGGTGCACTCTTAATGTGGCGGAATTATGGGAGTTGTAGTTTGATAAGGTTTGTAGCCTTCTTTGTCAAAGAGTGTTGGGGCCATGGCAAGCTACAAATCCCAGGATCCCAAAGCATTGAGCCATGGCACTTAAACCAGTGTCAAACCATATTCATTCTGCAATTGTACAGCCAGCCTCAGTATTGATGCCTTTGCTGCATGCGTTCACCTTTGCTCCCAAGAGCTGAACTTTTTGTTTTTGTGGTGGTCGACCATTAGTTACTTCACTTCCTTCTGTAAGAGTATTTCAACCCTGGAACATATACAGATTGAGTATCACCTACCCAGAATTTCAAAATACTCTGAAAGTGACCATAAGGGTGCCTGAGTTAGTGTCATTTCTATTCCCTTAAGGGTCAGTATATTCAAACTTTGTTTCATGTACAAAATCATTAAATGTTTTATATAAAAATACATTCTTAGTATGTACATAAGAGATATAGGAAGCATAAATGAATGTAGTGTTTGCACTTGGGTCCTATCTTCAACTTCATCAAGGGACATCCAGTCTAGTACCCTGCCATGCATTATCTGTATATTTGCATTTTGCAAATATAGATATTCCAAACTTTTAACCCCCTCTCCCTCAATAATCCAAAAGTACTTCTTATACCAAGCATTTTGGATGAATGATACTCAAACTCTGCTCAGCCTTCTCTCTATTTTCTTTTCTTTCTTTCTTTCTTTTTCTTTTTTCTTTTGGCACTGAGTCACATCTATATACAAAAACATCCTTGTTAGCAATGCCTCCTCCCATCTTACCCTGGAATTCCCCTCCCATCTGTTTATTACACTGTCACTTTATTCCTTTACATCTTTTATTTATTGGGGTGTGTGCATGCATGTATAAATCGTGGATCATTTTATACAAGCTGTTAGTTAGTTAGCTTTGACACTGTAGTTTCCTGCTTGGACATAAGCTAAAAGTTTGGATGTATGGAAGGATATCAACTGTAAAGGAAAGAAAGCAATATTGCATTGGTCTTCAGTTTAATATTTAAGAGGAACTAAATAGTCTTGCCATTTTATGGGCATGTGGCTCTGTTTAAATATAAAGCCCCATACATAGTATATACTTCTAAACTAAACTATGTAAACATCGACCTTTTACGTAATTGTAGCAAAATTCTATAGGCATTGAGGCCAATCTGTTTGCTTTCCAGGGCCAAGGATTTATACAGTATCCATTTGTGTATAGACTAGAAGAATCTGTTTTGCAGTTATCAGTGTAGTGGATTACAAATAACAATGTGCCTTCCAAGTGTAGTTTGGCCATATAGGATAATTTATTTATTGTGTCAGGAGCAAGCCAAACAGTTGTATTGCATTTTTAAACAAACAAGCAAACAAACAAAACACAAAGTTTGCAAGCTTGGTAGTTGATTATATGTCCTTTGACCAGTAGCTGGCCACTTGGAGTGCCTCTGGTGTTACTATAAGAAGGTCCTTCATTGTGCATGTAGCAGGGCTTAGGTTGCATCACAGCAGATGGTCTGTAGTTTGCTCTTCTCCACACTCGCATGTCGTGGATTCCACTTTGTAGCCCCGTTTCTTAAGGTTGGCTCTGTATCTTGTGGTACCAGAGCACAGTCTGTTCAGTGCCTTCCAAGTTGCCCAGTTTTCTGTGTGCCCAGGGGGGAGTCTCTCATTTGGTATCAGCCATTGATTGAGGTTCTAGGTTTGAGCCTGCCACTTATGGACTTTCGCTTGCTGAGGTGTTCCAACAAATGTCTCTGTAGATCTTAGAAAACTATTTCTTGATTTAAGTCATTGACGTGCTGGCTGATACCCAAACAGGGGATGAGCCGGAGATGTCACTGCCTTGGTCCTTTCACTATAGGATAATGTGATACTTGGTATACTCTCCTGTAATAGGTCTGTAAGGACCAAGTTCTGAGGTTACTTTTGTATTTGTATTCTGTTTTGACTGAAATTAGATGGATTTGTTTTGATTTGCTCTATCAATTTAGTTTAAACCCTACTCTACCAGGGAAACCCACTGTGTGACCTTGGGCAAGTCACACTCTCTCAGCTTCAGAGGAAGGCAAAGATGAATAAATCACAAGAAAACCCTACAATGGATTCATCTTGGGGTCCACATATGTGGGAAATGACTTGAAGACATCCAATACAGTATTATAACACTTCTGTACAATTATTTAGAAAGAATCCTTTTTAAAATTAATAGGATGTATTTTCAAATATGTATCAATATATTGTAGATATAAAGTTAACAGCTTTTTTGTGCTCTGGTTATTGTGCAAAATGGAAGACTGGAACCATTCAAACGTAGTGCAAAATTGTGGTTTGTTTAGCTGAGGTCATCTTTTAAGGTCCACACCTTATGAATCATACTTTGAAGTCATAGTCTGAATGTGATTTGCAAACTTTATTTATAGAGGTCATCTGCCATGCCTAAAGCTGGAAATGACGTAAAAGAAAGGGTTCCTAGAAAAGTACATATCGGGTTCATGCATTATATAATTTCCATAGAGGAGAGTATTTGTACAGTAGAAAAAAAACTGAATATATTCATTCTTGGATGTTTATAGCTTTATTTCAGTCCTACAATTCTTCACAACTTGAGATAAGTGATATTGATTCAAAAATGCTGTAGGCTTGTATATTTACTAATGTTCCTCAAATAAATCTTGAAAAAAGCTAGAACACTGTAAAAAGCAATAAGCAAGTGATTTGCTTTTAATGTAACAGTTAGCTTTCAAGGAAGAGTAGGATAGAAATATGGCAAATGTATAATAAAAACATCCAAGTGCTGAAAAATTCCTATCTTGTTAGGCCAGTAGATGGCACATGGTTCTTAGGATACAAAAATGACAAGTATTTTGGAACTGAATGCAGCAATGCCATGACTGCTTAACAGCATGCTTTTTCGTGCATGGAGCTAACATCTGTGTGGTAGAGTGCATGCTATTTCCCACAACAATAGCACACTAAATATGTTCTTAGATTCTCCACATCTTTTTGTTTACCCCAAGCTGTGTAACCTAAGTCTTTTGCATGATCACAGTACCAAGAAAGGGATGTCAAATATCCCATCTAATATCTCAAGCCAGGCTCTCCTATATGCTAATGTCCTGGCTTCATTTTTACCTTTAAAACAGAGATTGGCAGCTGTAGATGAGAAACAGTGGCCAGTTTTTATGTCCGTACTGCCCTGAATTGTGTGAAGTTAGGATAGTATATTGAAAACTGCAACACTGGCAATGACGTCAGAAAAAACACAGATCCTAACTTGTGTCTAATCTAAGGTGTTGGTGTCTTCTAGAGTTGTTATATAACATGTGCTCAATGTCAATGTTAACTTAATGTTAGTTGGCACTTTGCAGTGAGGAAGACGATGAAGACCTTCACTATGCAGATCATGACTATGAAGTGCCACAACAAAAAGGAACAAAGAAGATATGTAATAGAGTAAAATGGACACGTGATGAGGTGAGTCTTAACTAGACAGCAACCTTATGTTTGATTCTAATGTTACATTAGATTCTAATTTTCTATTAATAATTGGTTGTTGTTTTAACAGGATGACAAGCTGAAGAAACTGGTAGAACAGCATGGGACAACTGACTGGACATTTATTGCTAGTCATCTACAGGCAAGTGGGGAGTATTAAACTGAGCTTTTCTTGATATCCTGGTGTTCACCTGTTCATTGGTTAGTATGAACAGGCAGAGATATACAACAGGCAGGTTTCAGAACTATTACTTTCAAAGTGCATTCTCATTGCATATGTGAATTTGAATTCAAGTGGGCTTTTTTATATATTTCTGAATCTTGTAGAATTTTGAAAAAAGTCCTCACAGATAGCTTTTTCCTCATTCTACAGAATCGTTCTGATTTTCAGTGTCAACATCGATGGCAGAAAGTCCTAAATCCAGAACTTATTAAAGGCCCCTGGACTAAAGAAGAAGATCAGAGGGTAATTCACTTATATTGTTTCTAAGTAGTAATTTTCTTTTTAGAAGTACAATAATTTACTCAATTACAAATCGTCTCATTACTTGTTTGTATAGGAAAGGAGGGGAAATCATATTACTGATATTGGTAACTCCATGTTTATGTAGCGTTCTCTTCGACATGGCTCTTAACAACACTGAATTTTTAAAATCTGCATTAGTTCCTATTGTTGCCTTCTACACTGAATTATTAGTCTTTTCATTTTCAAAACAAATATGTTAAACTGTAGAAATTAAGGAACCCCTTTTCAGTATCATTTTGCAGGTTAAATTCTTTGGAATATGACTGTTCTTTATCAGGTTGTTTTAAAACTTGACATATGTCTTGCCTCCTTAGTATTTTTAGATGCATATATTGTACATGAAATTCTCTACTATTTAGCAAGGATACATTTTTAAATATTGACTGATTTGTTGAATAATGTTCAATTTGTATTCCAGGTTATTGAGCTTGTTCAGAAATATGGTCCGAAGCGCTGGTCTTTGATTGCAAAGCACTTAAAAGGTAGAATAGGGAAGCAGTGTCGAGAGAGATGGCACAATCACCTGAATCCTGAAGTAAAGAAATCTTCATGGACTGAGGAGGAGGACAGAATCATCTATGAAGCTCACAAGCGATTGGGGAATCGGTGGGCTGAAATTGCAAAATTACTTCCTGGAAGGTATAGTTGCTTATTGATACTCCTGTTTGTGTAAAAGACAGTTGATATATAGTTATTCCTAGATTTCTGCAATTTATGTCCAAATCACTGGTGTGAGCATCTTATTGATATTCTTGTTAATTTTATTTGTGTTCTACCTTTTTCAGTTCATTCAAATGTTAAAAATCAAAACTAGCTAAAATATAAACTATTAAAAAGAAAACAATAGATACATTGTTTGTTTCAATCCAGTCCATTATGAAAGTCCTGTTCCATCCTTGGGAAGGGAATTTCATTGCCTGAGTAAGGCCATATTCTTATCAGATGTTTTTGGAGGGTGGTGGGACAGCGAGAGAGAGAAAGAAGGGCCTCCCCAGCAAATCTCAAAACCAAAGGCAAGTTCATGTGGGAGAACATGGCTCTTCAAATCAATATAGGGCTTTCCATTTATGATTAGTACTTTGAATTGTTCCCAGAAATGCACCAATTGATCTGTTGTAGCAGGAGAGTTGTGTGCTACCTATAGTACCCAGCTAATAGTGTGACTCACCTCTATAAACCAGCTGTCACTAGTGCCATCCATGTGGCAGAGATGAACCGTACACATACGCTCCCCAAATTGATCATAAAAGGTTTAGATTCCAAGTTTACTCTAAATGTTGAACTAGGAGAAGTATCTAACAAATATGATTTTTTCAGTAGATGTTGATGTCTTTGTCAGTTTAGGGGTTAACTACAACCTGTGCCTCAGACAGTATACCATCATTATTCTTTTTCTTCTCTGGTTCATCTTTTATTTTAAGTTATATCTGGATTATATCTAAATCTGGATTTCAGAGTATACCTTCAAGCAGTAGATGGCTGTTTTCCAGAACAGCATAGTGTGTTGCAGATTCTGGAGTGGGGTTATGTGCAGGAACAATAAAATCACAGTGATCTGTCTACGGGCAGATCACGTGTAAGGTATGTACTCTAGCTACTGCCATTCTGATTTTATTATTCCTTTAAAGTGAAGTGGTTGAATGTAAACCTTTGGTTGAGACAGGGAGTGCTAGTGTCGTTTTGCTGAAATATTTCCTTTCTCTATAAATGAGTGCTTCCAAATCTGATTGTTATCTAGACACATGCTAATATTTTCACATTATTTTATACAGTGATTAATGTGAGGAAGGATTTAAATGTTTTAAAACAGATGCAACTGTCACTATAAAAAGGGGTTCTCAAACTGTGCACCAGGGAGCCTTTGGGGATCTGCAGGTGATAGTGAGGGACCTCGCCACACCACGCTTCTTCCTGCCTCCTTCTCTTCCCTTCTCCTGAGAAACGCAAGGAAATTAAATTTTTGAGCTTCTGGAAACAGCAGCAGCAGTGTGCTCCTGGGGCACAAACTCTTTCTCCCCCACCTCCCTCACTGCCCAGACTCTCTTCCTTGCCTCCCAGACCCTTTCCCCCACCTCCCTCAGGTTTCTGTTGTTGTTGTTGTTGTTGTTGCTGCTGCTGCTGCTACTACTACTACAAAGGCTTGGGGTGCTTTGATTGTGTTTTACCTGCATTGCAGAAGGGGATTGGACTGGATGGCCTCTGGGGTTCCTGCTATTACTATTATTATTTAAAAGACTTGGTGGCCATCTGTTGGGGGTACTTTGATTGTGCTTTTCCTGAATGGCAGAAGAGGGTTGGACTGGATGGCCCCTGGAGTCTTCCACTGAAATACTGTTTAGTTTATGTTGGTTAAAATTGTTCCACATTTTAAATATTCTATTTTTCTTTTTTTCCTCCCTCTCCTTTTTGGCACTGTGTGAATTAGTTCACACAAACACTCTCCATCCATCTGCCATGGTCCCCTATGACCTTCCGGCAAACAAACTAGTGGGCTAGGCAAAACTACGGTTAGGTGATCTGTTATTGGTTATTTGAACGGACCCAGAGGATGCTCGCCAATGCTTCCTCTTCATTCTGGAAAGAAGTGATGAGTGGAGTGCTGCAAGGTTTTGTCCTGGGCCTGGTTCTGTTCAACATCTTTAATAATTAATTAAATGAAGGGTTAGAAGACATGATCATCAAGTTTGCACACAACACCAAATTGGGAGGGATAGCCAATACTCCAGAAGACAGGAGCAGATTTCGAAATGATGTTAACAGATTAGAGAGATGAGCCAAAACTAACAAAATGAAGTGCAACAGGGACAAATGCAAGATACTCCACTTAGGCAGAAAAAAATGAAATGCAAAGATACAGAATGGGGGCACTTGGCTAGTTAGCAGTACGTGTGAAAAAGATCTTGGAGGCTTTTAAACAGAGGCTGCATGGCCATCTGTCAGGGGTGCTCTGAATGTGATTTTCCTGCTTCTTGGCAGGGCGTTGGACTGAATGGCCCACGAGGTCTCTTCCAGCTCTGATCTTAAATCTTGCCCGACCCATACGTGATATCTACATTAAATATAGTATAATATAAGATATGATAAGTTATATAAACATTTATTGGGGCTCCATGAGAAACTTTTGTTTCTAAAAAAAAGTTTGAGAACCCCTGCTCTAAAGTAATAAACGTTACTTTTAATCCTTGGCTGTGATGCAGAGAACCATGAAACTAATTCTCCTGATCTAAATGACCTTTACTCTGGCTTTTGAATATACCTCATGTCACACAGGAAACCTCTCAAAAGGATTGTTCTGGAAAAAAATAAAAATACATCTCTTAAGGAAGTTTAATTTTGAATTCTTTCCTCAACTTTTTCACTGTATAAAATCAATTAAACTTATGTGTGCTGACTAAGAAATCCTATTAATTTCTATCAGTGTACTGTGCTTGAGGCTAAAAATGGATTTAATTCTTTTGTGTTCTTATTGTCCCTCTTTTGAATAACTTGCTCTTATTTCCAGGTCTATGCAATATTTCATTCACAATATTTCTATATTTTTGGCAGAGAACCAAGATGTATGCTTAAGCATATGTCTTTGATCCAATGAATTAAACTTCAAGATTATCTGCATTCCATTGAATTCACTGTGATGTTTAAGTTTCTTATCTTTCTACATAATTGTGTTTACTGATTTGTTCAGGACCGACAATTCAATAAAAAATCATTGGAATTCTACTATGAGAAGAAAAGTTGAACAAGAAGGGTATTTACAAGATGGAATCAAGACAGAAAGACCTTGTTTATCAAAAGGTCCACATAAAGCGTGTTCGTCTACAGAGCATCTTCATGCCCACAACCAGTTCTACGTACCTGTTCAGGCACATGTATGTTTTCGAAAACTTTTCTGTCCCTAAGGTTGTGTAAACTAAGGGAAAACTGGACCCATTAAAGCATATTTATGTTGCAAGGACACTAGAGTGAGAGAGGTAGTTTAAAAGCTTTTCTACTATTTCTATTTTCAAAATTCTGCTGTTGTATAGATAATATATATGTGTTATATACTTTTATTCAAACATACAAAGGAAAAATTTATGGTCAAATTTTGAAAATAAAGATGTGTCCACTGAAAATTTGCTGAAACTAAAAATGTTTCATGAATGTTTTAGACGTGAGAGTAAAGAACGCTTGTAATTTGTCAGATCCCAGGGTACCAGTATGTGTCAACAGAAAGCAACTGTATAGACCAAATGACACCCTCTTCAGACTTCATTCAGGTAATGTCCTGGCTGGTATAATTAATTTTTAATATCCCTTTACATGTCTTCTTTGTCAAGCAGTCAGCATGGATAAAATTTAAGTTCAAAACTGATATATTTGCAAGTCTACCTTAATAGGGTACAGTCCACCAGATATGTGTTCAGTACTAGTAAAATAAATATCATCCTGTGTTTGGGGGATGTGTGTTTCAGACTAACTTCATGATGTGCACTGTCAGGGTAGGGGTTGTTGTCTAAAAGTGTTTAGAGCAATAGTTATCAACCTTTGGTCCTCCAGGTATTTTAGAGTTCAGGTCCTACAATTCCTAACAGCTGGTAAACTGGTTGGATTTCTGGGAGTTAAAGTCCAAAACACCTGGAGGACCAAGAGTTAAGAGCCACTGGTTTCCCTGTGTGGAGAGCAAGATTATGCTCCACGGAGGGGGAATTATTATGGGAATCCTTCTCAAAATGTAAAAAAAGTCAGTCTAACATAAGGATAGAAGCACGATTTCATTCACATATATGAAACCCATATGGGATCGAATGCAGGACACCGTGTCATTTTATGTGGCCCTCCAGAATCTAGACTACAATTTCTGTGTTCCTCATCTTTAGGCATCATGACTACAGCGAATGGGAGTTGTGATAAAGTAATGTCTGGAAGGCTCCAGTTTGGACAGGAGAGTAAAATTTGAATTAAGATAAAAGGCTTGTGGATATGATTTCTGACTTCAAAATGTCCTTTAACCTTCCTCCAACTTCAGAGCCACAAATGCTGTTAGACTACAAATCCTGTTATTCCCAGTCTGCATGGCAGATCATCAAAGTGATGGGAGTTATTATTCCATAACATCTGGGCACCTAATTATGGAACACTGACCAATATGTAAAAAATTATAGTTGGCTCTCTGTATTCACAGATTCTCCATCCAAGGATTGAGTGGTCTTTTGAAGGCAACCATAAGGGTGATGGGGCCCTTCACATAAATGAGTCTAACACCCCTGATCTAGATTATGTGTAATGCAGTTAGCCAAAAATGGGGGCTGAATCCTGTTGGTGGCATTAACTGGAGCTGACGTATAGAATAAATGGAATAGTGAGAAAGCATAAATCTAATTGATTCAGTAGTCTAATTTAGTATGGAATGCAAATATGATTGAGGCCTAAGTGTATGGTTAACAGAAGACAGCTTGATTAAAGTCTGTTAGGATTATAGCCTCACTATGAACTGGCTTTGAAGCACTTCTTGAAAATATATATATATAAAGACCAGAGTAAAGAGAGGGGCCAAGAAGACAGTGCCATCTTGTCTTCAGTTTCATCAGTTGGGAGCCCCTCCTCCCAACACCCAACTGCGACCCTGGGACCAGAGTAAAGAGAGGGGTCCAGGAAGATATTGTATTTATTTTATTTATTGTATTGTATATTACTTGTAAGCCGCTCTGAGTACCCTTTGGGGTGAGAAGGGTGGAATATAAATGTCACACACACACTGTGTGTGTGTGTATTGTGGGTAGAAATCTACAAACCAATCTTGTTTTTCACTTTGAAAAGAAAATGTTCAAAGTCTTTTGTGTTCAAATATTTGCAACAGCAGCAAAAGTACTACTATTTCCACTTTTCCTGTGCCTTGTATAACTTATTAGTTGTAATAATATATCATAAATATTATTCTTATGTATCCTGGTATTTTATTTTTTTCAATGTATGCTTCAGCAGCCATTTGATGATGATCCCGACAAAGAGAAAAAAATAAAAGAACTTGAGCTGTTACTTATGTCAGCCGAGAATGAAATCAGAAGAAAGAGAGTCTCATATGTAAGAACCGCTTGTATAAATATGTGCTGAACAAACCTGTTGTTCTGAATGATCTAACTGGTTAAGAAGATAACCACACAGTACATAATGTGTACAATAGAGCCCAGATAAATCTCTGATCTTTATTTGTTAGATAATGTTCAAAGGTATTTTAGGGATGAAGTAATCTGGGATGAAGTTGCCAGCAGAGAAAATATTGTATCTCTCCCCCTCTTAGTATATTGCTCTAACATCCAACATATATTAACAGAACATAGTAAGGGCCATGTATCTTTGATTTAGCAAATATTTTCTGTGTTGTGTTTCCATCGTCAGTGAACTTGATGAAGGAAACCTGAAATCCTCTATAGTAGCACTGATTCATCTTTCGTCATTTCAATAAAACAGCAACATCTTTTTGTATTCTTAGCAAGGTGGACATTTTTCTAACTGGTCTGGAAATTTCATTATGGAAGACAACGTATCAAATGCCCTAAATAGTCTTGGGGAGCAAACGCATGACTTTTACAATTTGGATGATACACAGGCTGCGACTGCACAGCAAAGCTCACCTACCAAATATTTGGCTGTAGAGGCAAATGCAGTGTTGTCATCTCTACAGACTATTCCTGAATTTGCAGAGACGCTAGAACTTATTGAATCGGTAAGTCCAAATCAACATATATTGACCTACAAACATGCAAAAATATTGATAACTTATCAGTACAAGATATATGATTTGCTTTCTTGCATAGTTAGTTCCATGTGATGGTAGAATTGTATTTTGTTGGCTTTTGTGAAGTAAAACAGCACACTTCAGATATTCTGAAATATCTTTAAATAGGAACTGAATCAACATAAATACAATCTGTTATTTCTACTGTTGAAATGTGCTATTCTTTTTTGGAACAGAGACTCAAGGCATGATCACCACAAATCCAATCTTATTGAAATACGTCTCTTTAAACAATGGGGAGTGGTAAATTCCTTTCTCTCTCTCTCCATTTAATTGATGATTGTAGGATCCTGTAGCATGGAGTGATGTCACCAGCTTTGACCTCACTGATACGACTACATCTCCTGTCAATCAAGCTCCAGTGAAACTAATGCGGATTCAACACAGTGATGGGGCCATGGAGTGCCAATTCAATGTCAGTGTGGTGCTTGATGGCAAAAAAACAAGTGAAGAAGATGAATCCACATTTCCAAGTGCTGTCAAGTTCAGTTCTCCTCCCACCATTTTGCGCAAGAAAAAGAAACTAAAAGTTGGACAGTCAGTAACTGGTGAACAGAACGATACTTTGTCCAGTAGTATTACCAGCACTGCACTAAAACAAACACCAGTGAAAACACTACCCTTTTCTCCTTCACAGGTACATGCAGTTATATAAATGTATTAAATAACTTTTGATCTTCCAGGTGTTTTGGACTTTAGCTTCCATAATTCATAAAAATTGGTAAGCTGGCTGGGATTTCTAAGAGTTAAAGTCCAAAAGACCAAGGTTGAGAGCCACTGTAATAAATTGTATGTATTAAGCTGAGTCTGAACAAGGAGGTATTCAGTTGTAAAGATAGTTGGCAGTAATGTTATTAATTGTTGTGTTTTGGTGAAATGATAGATATGTGTGGAGAAATATCTCTTTTATTGTAAATAGACTGCAATGCTGCTTTGAGAATTTTGTTGAAAGAGGCAATATAAGTGGACAGAGTTGCCTAGTCAGGGCTTAAAATTCTCTTTGAGATACGCAATGTATTGCTTCTTAAAGATCTTAAGATGACATAAGACAACAAATAAGAATTTCTTTTGCTGCATTGCTCCTCATAAGGATTTGTGTATAAGTGAGCAGAATAAAAAACAATGCTAAACAAGTAAAGTTGTATAAGCCACTTCTGAACTGGTGTATTGTGGGTAGTATTACCCACTAAAATAAGGTAATAACACAGTTTCTGTTCTTGCTTCCTATGCAGTTTTTCAACACCTGTTCTGGAAATGACCAGTTTAACCTTGAAAATCCTACATTTACATCAACGCCAGTTTGTGGCCAAAAAGTTCTTATTACAACGCCTTTGCATAGTAAAGAAATGACACCCAAAGATCAAAAGGAAAATGCAGGGTAGGTAGATGATTTGATTTGAAGCAATTGTTAGAATTTATGTTTAAAAGGATAATTAAAAATAATAAAAGATAGCAAATCTAGATGTACTAAAGAGTGTCACCTTAGGCACCATGAAAATACATGTTAGTGGATTCACTCCTGGAGAAACCTTTACCTACAATGACTAATTTTAATTATCTGATTTATAATTGCCTAAAATAATGTTTGGTGGTTCTTCAGTTTTAGGACACCTACTATTAGGAGATCTTTGCTAGGAACTACACCAAGAACACCTACTCCCTTTAAGAATGCTTTAGCTGCCCAGGAAAAAAAGTATGGTCCTCTGAAAATAGTGGTATGTAGCATTATCATTCATAGCATTTCTACCATGTGTATGAGATTTGTTTGATAGGAAAACTGCATTGGACATGAAAACCTCACATCTTGACTTCATTAGCAATGGGTCTTCAACAGTTAATACGTAATTGTGAAAGAAATCTGTTTAATGCAGCAGGACTTTTCTCCATAAGCATGCATAGGACTACAACAGCTGTGCGAGAAAAAATAATAGTTCTTCAAGCAAGAAGGCTGTGCTATTGAAAGTTGCATGTGATATTGTATAATCTATAGTTTTAAAAAGTCTTGTGCAAAATTAGTTATCATTCTGTTTCCCCGCATAGTGTGCTACTACTGTTTTTTGGGTGTTCATGAATTAAATGATAACAAGTATGGTTTGATCCTTTTAATGTATGCATTTTAAAGGAGTGTATGATGTATTCTGATATCTAGAGACTTGCTACAGGCAGTCCTCAGGTGATGAACAAGAGAGACTCAGTAGGTTTGTTCTTAAGTTGAGTTTGTATGTAACTCAGAACAGATACATTTTAAAGTGTTAACTCCAGGAAAAAGAATAGTTTCGGGTGGCATAAGGAAGGGTCAATTTGTTTTGCAGTAGTGCAGTGGGTTAAACCACTAGCTGCTGGAAATCTGCTGACTGAAGAGTTAGCAGTTCAAAGCCGCAAATTGGCTTGAGCTCCTGGCTGTCAGCCCTAGCTTCTGCCTATCTAGCAATTCGGAAGCATGTAATGCAAATAGATCAATTTGGACTGTCTCGGTGGGTAAAAGGGCACCCCATCCAGACTTGCTGGCAACCCAATCTGAGAAGTCTATGGACAACAGGCTGCTCGCCTTGAAAAAATAAAGTGTGGTGTTGCTGTTGTGTTCAGAAGATTTCATCTCACTTTCTGTCCCCATAACAATTGGATTATGAAATATTTGGTTTGTTGTGGAAGCAAGCCTTGGTGACAAAGCTTCAGTGGAGACACCTTTTTCCCATGATTGGTCTTACAGAAGTGATCTTCCCTTCCTAGGAGTAAATTTCCTCTCACTTCCTGTAGTCTCACCCCCATTTGTAATGAGGAGGTTGTTTATAACTCAGGGACTACTGTATTTTGTTGCTTTAATTATATAAATTAGTGGGTACAAGTGTAATTTTAATCACTATATTTACCATGCAGACTTAAACATTGTAATATGTAGATGAGTTCAGTCTCTTCTATTTCATGTCAATAGTGAGCAGCAGAATTCACTTCTAATTTGATATGATTTTACCTGTTACATTTAGTCTCAGCCACTTGCCTATTTGGAGGAAGATATTAGAGAGGTTTTAAAGGAAGAAACTGGAACAGATATATTCTTCAAGGAAGAGGACGATTCTGTTTATAGGAGTTGCAAATTAGAGGTAAATAGTATATCATATGTAAGTTGCTGGATTCATAAAAATGTAATTCACATTTTGAATTTTAAACACACATCTTCTGTTTTCTATATTTTAATATTTGTATTTTAATGTATGTGTTTCATAGAAAAAATTTAATATGTGTATCGTATATAATGTTTATTATGGTGTGTTTTTAACTATGTTGTGCCTTGCCTTGAGCCATGAAAAGAAGTGGGTAAGAAATAAAATTATTATTATTATTATTTTAACTGTTGGTTCATAGAATCCTTCTGCAAGGAAAGTCAGAAAGTCATTGGTTTTGGATCCCTGGGAAAAAGAAGAGTTTGATGCCCAATTTTTTACAGAAGACAATGGTTCAGATACACAGGTGAGGAGCATGATACAAAAAAATACAAACATTGAAGATAAAATGGAAACAAAGGTGAGCATGTGGTTATTATGAGTCTTAAACAACAAGGCAGGAAATTATCATATTAAAAATATTGCCTATCAAGATTTCTAATGGTAGAAATACACAGTTGAAATAATGGTTTGATTGTGGCAATTGTAGCTTTTTAATATTAACATTTGAGGTTTTTATATTAGTAGAACTAAGCATTTTCATGCAGCTCCATGATGCATTTTAAAATGAGATTTATGGAATTTAAATTACTCTAGCTACCTTGAATTTATTATCCTGCTTAATTATATTGCTGGAATTACTAGTTACAAACCTTTCGTTAATCTATAATCATTCATTTTTTAAAATTCTTCAACTAAATTGTAGTTTGATTTTTCAAACATATTTTCTTTGTAATATAGTCAGAAAATATTTATACAACATCACTCCTAATGATTCCATTTTTGGAAATACACGACAATAGAGGAAACATGACTCCAGAGAAACAGGATTCCAATTCCACAAAGCTGAATGTAGCAATGAAAAAAAGGCTGAATACTTGCACTTCAAAAAATGTCAAATCAGAAAAAACACTTCAGGTTTGTATTTAGGAAACCTTAATATTCTGCTCTAATAATTTGACTATTCTCTTTATAAAAACACATTATGAATAAAAAACGCAATGTTTTTTCTGCCAAGTGCTACCAGTTCAAGCTCAAAATTAACGGAGATAGGCATGGGAGCTTAATTTTAAATTCAGTAGTGTTCTTGCAGATTTTAGTGAAATGCTCTCTTTATATGCTTCGAAAAAATGCTGCTGAGATTTCAATAGGAATTATAATTGACTGCTAAATAACACTAGAAACAGATTGCAAGGAATAGGGAATGTCAGGAAAGTTACGTTTACATGGTAATCTCTTCATATATGGAATATCTGCGGGAGAAGCAACAATACTATATGTCTGCCTCTCCTACAGTGAATATAAACATGCTTGCTGGCTCTAAACCTAACATTTATATGCTGTGTCAAATGTCATGGAGAACCTGTTGGAACTCAACCACATCCTTCACAAGTTTATAGTCCTCATCAAGGGCTTTGATAGGCGGATAAGTTAGGGCCCTTCCACACAGCTATATAACTTAGAATATCAAGGCAGAAAATTCCACAATATCTGCTTTGAACTGGGTTATTTGAGTCCACACTACCATATATTCCAGCAGATAATGTGGGATTTTATTCAGCTGTGTGGAAGGGGCCTTAGTTGGCAAGGAAAGCCCTTTCTCCATTGCCTGCTTTGTCTGGTCTGTCACTCTATTCTCGCCTCCTATTACTTTGCTTGTTTGTCTGATGCCTCTTAAGAACACGCCTCTTTTTCAGGCACATGGCAAGCTCTGAGTCCTCCATTTTGTTCCTCTCCTGTGAGCATGGAGAGATACAACATGTCTCCAGAGAGTTAGATAGCTAAGCCTGTTACTTTCCTGCCCAGAAATGTAGTTTTTTGAATAAAGTCATTTAGAACTTTTAAAGCTTGACTTTCCTCCTGAATTTCTGAAGCTCATTCGCTCTACTATGCACTAAGCTTCTGATCTGCTAAACCACTGCTATTGCTGTTATTGCTGCTTTAGATTTTAAATACTTTTTCCCTTTTGAAATTACCCCAACAGAACCTGCTTGCATCTACTAGTATGTGGATAGGCTTTCTGTTAGGACACTCCATGCAATATGCAGACATCAGAGCTAGACAAATGGATATGGTCTCACTTCACCCTTGTTGTGTATACTATTTATCAGGCATGAGCACACTTTCTAACTTGGGGGCCAGATGGTGGGTCAAAACAGGGTGGGTGGGCCAGGAGGGAGAGGGTTCTCTGCAAGTCCCCTTCCCTTTCTTCCCCTTCTCTTCTCTTTTGGAGGCAGAAAGTGAAGGAAGACAGGAAAGGTTTGGATCCCAAAAGGGTTGATCTTGGTCAGGATGAGATGGTGGGCGGGAGAGGAAAAGTGTATCCATTACTCCATATTGCCTACTCTTGATATAGAATCCTTGAGCTGGAAGAGACCCCCAAGGGCCATCCAGTCCAACCCCCTGCCATGCCAGAAGGCACAACCAAAGCACTCCCGATAGACAGCTTCTGCGGAAAAGCCTCCAGAGAAGGAGATTCAACCACATTCAACAGCGCTTACTCTCAGGAAGTTCTTCCTAATCTTTTCTGACGAATCTCTTTTCCTGCCATTTGAAACCATTACTCCCTTATGCTCTAGTCTCTAGAGCAGCAGAAAATTAGTTTTCCCCCTCTTCCTCAATGGTACACCCTTTGAAATCTTGAAACATGGTTCTTGTGTTCTCTCTCTACTTTCTCTTCTCCCAGCTGGAAAGGAGGAAGGAAAAAGAGAAGGGTTGAAGGGAATGGAGGGGCAGGGAGGAATGAAAAAACAAAAGGGAGGGAGGGAAGGAAGGAAGGGGAAAGAGAAAGGGAAGGAAGGAAGGACAAAAGAGTAGAAGGGAAGGAAGGAAGGAAGGATAGGATGGTGTGAGAGAGGAGGGGCTACATCCGTCCCTTGGGCCTGGGTTTATTTATTTATTTATTTATTATTTATTTACTCCATTTGTATACCGCATTTATCAGCCTGCGACGGCGACTCAATGCGGTTTACAGTAAAAAAGGGTTTGCCCATATAATGTGAAGGCTGTTGTAATAGTGAACAAAATATTAAATGTTATATCTCTTTAAACATCACTACTCATCCCTTGCTACAGTGCAGGGCCATTATCCACTCTGCCAAGCATAGCCTCTGTATGCAAAAGAACCTTGAGATTCAGGTCCCTTTACTCTTGCATCCTTGTGTGAACATGGAGCAGAAAGGTGCTAGCGAATGAGAAGCCTTTGTATAGAATAGATTCATAAATCTTAAAGTTGAAAGGGACCACAAGGGCCATGCAGGAATAAACAACTCAAACACTCCTGTAAGGATTACATTAGCTTCTATTTAAAATATAAAGCAGTTCATTTCACTCTTGAACAACTCTTAGAGCAAAAAAAAGTTCTTCCTACATTTAGGTGGAACCTCTTCTGTTGTACTTTGTACAACAATCTCATCCAGCTTGAGGGCATGTAAAGTGGACATGAAAGGCTAGACTAGTGATTCTCAACCTGTGGGTCCCCAGGTGTTTAGGCCTACAACTCCCAGAAACCCCAGCCAGTTTACCAGGTGCTAGGATTTAGGGGAGTTGAAGGCCAAAACATCTGGGACCCACAAGTTGAGAAGCTCTGAGCTAGACAGAGACATCAGAAATGGATGTGGATGTCAAGGGCTTTATATTCACCTTTGAACCATCAACACATTTCTATTTGGTTTTCCGACAGTTGTATTACAGGCATTACATGTTTTGTTCACTGTAAAATGTAATACAGTAGTACAATTGCCCCCCCCCCCTCCCAAAGCAACAACAATCCTAATTAACTTGACTATCTCATCAGCAGACAGCAGGCCCACACTTCCCATTGAAATACTGGTAAATTTATGTTGGTTCAAATGGTTCTCCATTTTAAATATTGCATTTTAATGGTTTTTGCACTACAAATAAGATATAAGCAGTGAGTGTAGGAATTTGTTTATGTTTTTTTTTCAAACTATAGTCCAACCCACCCAATAGTCTGAGGGACCTCTGCTTTAGCTGAATGCTGTTTGTAGAAATTTCTCATGTAAAATTGCTCTTGCTTCAAAGCCCTGAAACCATAGTTGCATGCTTTTCTTATTCTAATAAAGTTCAAAAATGGTTCCCAGTCCTTTCTGTAATCACTTTTGATTTAACCCCCGAGCATAATTGCCAGTTTATCAATTTCTGCCACTTTACAAGTTTTTATAATCCCCCTTTTAGCTGTTTGTCAGTACTTTTCCAATGTTGTGCATTTAACATTCTTGCTCCAGTTAACTTGTTTTGTAGTGCTTTGGCATTAATTAATTTCACTTGTTCATTTTGTATTCCTAATAAGAATAGTTCAGGATCTAATTGGGTTATAGGGAGGGGGGGTTGGGGGGGAGGATGCAGTAGCTTTTGTATCAAATTTCAAAAATGTCAGCACATAATTGCGTCCAGTGGCCTGGACACCACTGTGTTCAAAGTACTTTCACATACATTTTTTTTACCAGTGCTTATATTGGGTACTGTAACAATACATTTTAAAAATGATAATGTTGGATTGTTATGACCATTGTCTGATGTGAGTTGTTGAAACTAATTGTTAAATGGATTGTATTACAGGCAAATTGTGAATGGGAAGCTGTCGTTTATGGGAAGACTGAAGATCAGCTCATTATGACTGAGCAAGCAAGGCGATATCTGAGCACCTATATGGCTACTGGCAGCACTTCAAGGGCTCTGATTTTGTGATTGCGTCAAAACATTTCAAAATGGACTTTATGCTGAAATGTTTGTTTCAGCAACATAAGTACTGACGGATTTTATTTATTCTTTTTAAAGATTTGAAACTGCCTTATAAGGCAAAACTTGGGGCTTTTTAAAATGTTACGCATCAATCTTTTTAAAGTGAAAGTTGTACAGTCTTTTAAAAAGACTACTCTAAAGCATAACTATTTTTTCTATCAAGCAATTTTTGTTCTTTAATATATACTTCTACTCTCCTCTTAAATATTATTTTAATGTAGCCTAGGTTTACAGGTACTTTATTATCTATCTATGAAAGGAAATTATACATGACTCCTTGAAAATGCTTTTGCTTAAATGCTGATTTATGTAGCATTTTTTGTAAACACAAAAGAGAGGAAACTAAAGGAAAAATAGAAGGTTGCACTACTAGTAGTAGGTATGCTGCACAAAATTAACTACAGTGTTAAATGTATTTATTTGAGAATGGTACTTCTAAGAAGAGTAGACAAAGGGATTGTTGATTTTTTTTATATTAGGGTAAAGCATCAGTATTCATAAATCTCAAACCAAGACTATTGTTGAATGTATTGTACAGCATGTAGGGGCAAGAAAGCTTTTGTAAATTGGAAAGCAGTTTAATTTATATTCACTGTAAAGCTTAAGGCTGCAGTCTCTCTAATTGCCTGCATATTCTTGCTGCTTTGCAAAACAAAATGAACCTGGGAGGGAGGTGTAGCAAATTTTCTTTTGCTGGTTAGATGTAGAAAAGGAAGATGGTTACATCTCAGAAACAATATGAGCACTATTGCTTTCTCTGCTTTGCTCTAGGGTCAGTGAGTAGTATGTTCGTTCTAATACTTATTTGGAGTAGACTACATTCTTCCTTTCCCATGCTGCTTTTTCATAACTAGGCGTCTCAGTATCTTTAGATCAGAAGCAGCAGTCAGTCAGTTCTGAACAATACTCAGTTGTCTTCTATGGACAAGTTCCTGCAAACAGCTGAGCTCTTTCCTTCTCCAAGCCTTATTGTTTTCAGTAGGTAGTATCTTTAAAAGCTGCACAAAATGCTAACTGAGCAGCATGAAGGAGGAAAGAGTGTGTTTTTAGTAAGCGGTACATGAAAAGGTACTAAAAATGGCGTTTATCCCGGGACAGCATTATAGACAGAAAGAACATTCTTTAGGTCACTGTTCTTTAATGGATTCATTTTATTCTCAACTGCTACTGAAATATTTATTAGGTAAAATTACAAAAGGTTAAAGTGCAAAGAACTAAGACCTGGTATACTGTAGTATTAAAAGTATACTGTGTTGTGGTCATGAAGGACAGGCCTGGGTATAAAGATATTTCAGAGAGGACAAACTTCTCTGTGCCCAGTAGACAGTGGGAAAAAGGAGGATTGTTGTCTACTCTGTGAAGGATAGTAGTGAAGGATTAGATAGCAGAATATGTCTGAGTTGCTTTGCAAACACTAGTATTTTATATGAATCTGTGTTGGCACAGGTAGTAAGCAAACTTTTCGTTCTTTTATGTAGATATTAATAAGCACACACACACATGCAGGTTGTCTTAGAAGCTGGCGTTTTCCTAATAGCATAGCTCTGGCTGTCATGAGAGAAGGTTAACTGTAACCTTGGTGCATAGGATAGGAGCAAAATAGGCTGTGAAATCCATTATTTTGCATTTCATCTATTAAGATATTGCACTATTCCTTTTCAAATCATGTAAGTCCACATAGTCTTTGAAGTCTAGGTTTATTATCGTTCAAATATTCCAGGAACTTGGTTATTAAAGGGGATACATTTATGTTGGGTCAAAATACAATGACTTTCTATGGCTTCTTGTGGCCCTATACAAGAATTGATCTTGGTGTACATCTTTACATGTCTGGGAGAAACGAGTCAGTTCACATGATGTGAGCAGCCACAGGTCTTCCTCAGCCACATGTAGATTGATTGATGTTGGTATGAACTAGGCTGTAACTAAATCGCAATCACAGTTATTTCTGTTTCCCTTCTTGAAGAAACGACACAGTTGTAGGATGCCTACAAAGTCTAGATCATATCCACATTTTCCCCAAGGTTGAGCTGTGGCTGCCTGAACTTCACTTAAGAACTGGCTCAGAAACATTATATAGCTGCTGTTGGAGCCTCAACACAATTACAAAACTATTCAGAAAATAAAATAATCTTTTTTATTTTAAGATTGATTCATGCTTTTAATCTTCATAGGTTACAGCAATTGCTTCAGTTTACCTGCTTTAGACATTTGCACTTAACTTGTTCTGTTTGAAGGAATGTCTTTGTTTTGCTTTTGTTTGTTTGTTTTAGTTAATTTCATGTAGAACATAATGGTGTGCTGTCGACTTAAATACTGACAGATAAATAGAATTGTATACTGTAGAAGTTTAGCTATTTATAAATCTGACACTCTTCCTCTCTACTCCTCGGTGTGCTGCTATAGAGAGTAGCAGAGTCTGCTTGCTGCTATGAGAGAGGGAAAGAGCGAGCATCATATGCACTGTATGTAAAATGACAAATGGAATAATGGCATGTTCTCAAGTTAACTTGATACCAACCGTTGTTGTGCGGGGAGTAACACAATTACTAGAAAGAACGTTGATACCACATGACACCAAGAACGCTAACAATGATTTTATTTTGATATTGTGTATGGTATGTAAAGAAATCTATGATGTTGGAATACTTTAAAGAAAAACTCAAGCCCCCATTCAATAGTTATTTATTTATTATTCTAAATAAATATTTATATATAGAATGTTCACTTAGCTGCCTTTAATAAGCCAGTTTGTGTAAATGGTTAGCATTTTCCAGAATAACTCTAGAAAGTGAATTGCTTTTCCTTCTCAATATGTGAGAAGCCACTTTGAAACTTCCTTTGGTATTGTTAGTTTAGTTTTGTTCTCTCTTTAAAATAAGTTTCTTTAGATAACTCCCAGCCTGAAAAACAAAGGAGTGAAGTGACTGTGCCTAGCATAGGAAGGCTGTCGTCTGAAGGACTGTGCATCTAACAATACTCACCTTGGCTTTCGACTTATTTTTTCCCAAATCCCATCCCTAAACCTTATGAAAGAAGTCTTTCAAGCCTTAATGTCAGTTTATAAAGAAGTCCAGGTATTTTTACTCATCTGTCCTGAGTATATGGCCACGTAAGCTGCATTTAAATGGCCTCCCTGGATTGTGATTAGTGTGCCAAACTCCAAAGAAGTGTTGTGTGCATCAGCACTGCCTGCATTTCCTTCTTCTGTAGTTCCCTGTGTTATGCTGGGAGCCACTTTTGAAGGACTGGGCTGTGTGAAAGGGACTCAAGCTCTGCCATATGCATGCACACTGACTGCAGCTCTTTGGCCCCACTCTTCATCGCTTATAGATAAAGTACCTGCTTTGCAAGAGGCATGTACATTATTCAGTGAGTTTTTTTTAACGGTACCAAAGCCACCAGTGCCAAGGTTTAATGTAGGTCTCTGGTAAGTAGTACAAACTGGAGTTGGTATTGGTTGAATCTTTCAGTTAATTGCTTTTGTGCTTTTAGTTTGGAAAAGAGAGAAAAAAGTTTTGAAATCTTTTGACATTAGAATTTTTAAAATATATTTTTGGTCTTAGATGAATTTGAATTTTGTATGTTTATAAGTAGAATATGCCTGCAGCAGACAAACATGCATGTTGGAAAATGATGGCATCTGTTAATACTTATGCTTGTTTTAAAGTTTGACTTTTAATTATCAGTTGAATATTGGTTGTGTGTTATTTTTTATATTTTATTTGCTTTACTACAAATTTTGTTTCACTTAAATGGATGTTGCATACAATGCAGACTCACAATAACACCAGAAATAAAAACATTTATATACACACCTACTGGAAAATTACTTTTATTCATAGGAATTAAGCATAATTGGAATTTGCATTGTTAGCCAAAATATGAGGCAAGCCTTCATATAGAGAAAGGGGCTCCTAACTTGTGAATGTGTCAGCACTTCTACAGTTATTTTCATAAGTTGTATTAAGGTTTCTGATTGCCTGCTTGGCTGACAAGAAAAAGTATAATTCACTGTTTTTTATCTGGATTTTCTAGAACATTCTTCTTGCCTTGCTTTGGTGGAAGGAAGTGGTACAGGTTGTTGTTTTTCATTCGTTCATTTACTTCCGACTCTTCGTGACCGCATGGACCAGCCCATGTACAGATTGAGTTCCCCAAAGACTTCAAAAACTTTGCAGACACTACCATTTTCCCCTTTGAGGAAAGAGTACTTGTTATACATCCAGTGCCCACAATGCTCTCAGATATGTGATGATAGAAAAGGACTCACGATCTGTGACTTGACAATGCTCCTGTAAAAAACACATGCCAAGGGAGGAAAAAGTCCAAATATATCGGGCTGCTGCAGGCTCAGGAAATGTCGGAAAGCTCTGGTTGCCTGGCTAATCCACACTCTTCTTGCCCTTCTTGTCCTGTTTCAGGAGCATCAACCTTGGTACCACCAATTCTATTCCATTTCCTGCTTTTCAGAAACAGCTTACTAGTGTCAGCTTCGGCATAGTGGAAACAAAAATTAGTTAAAGTGCCACTGACTGCCACCACCATCTTTTATTACTGTTACTGCCAGTATCTTTTCTGGAGCTTATCAGCTGCTCTTTTCATTGGAGCTGTCCATTTTCTTTCTCTGACTTATTATTCTGTTGATGCGTTTTAATGTGTCTCCATTTTGAGCATCCCATTTTGGGTGCCCTACTTAGGCTTTAGCCAGGCATGGGCAAAATTCAGCCCTTCAGGTGTTTTGGACTTCAGCTCCCACAATTCATAACAGCCTACCAGCTATATGGAATTGTGGGAGTTATAAAGTACAAAACACCCAGGGGGCCGAAGTTTGCCCATGCCTGGTTTGGACACTTGTTAGAATATACCTTCTTGAAGAAGCTGCTCTTCAGAAAACTTACTCCTAGTTTCTATGACACATTCAACCTACCTCCCTGCATTAAAATGTGCATCCGAGAGAGGGGGTGTTTTGCTTGCTGTGACAAACGTGGCATTTGTAGGAAGGAGACTCAGAAAAAAGAAGATTCATTCTAATACAGATTTTCTTGATTAATTAGGATTTCTAATCTTATGATGCTTTTGCTTCCCCAAATAAGGTATAATTTTCTATCTACAGTCAGTTGTTTTTAGAAACTTCTATTTAAGTAAGTTATGGTGTGCATGCATTTTCTTTAGTTTTGAACAGAGTTTTCCTGTTGGCTGCTTAGAGGATTATAATAATGTTCAGGTGGAATCTCCTTTTTTCAAACTAATAGAAAGGAGATTCCACCTGAACATTAGGAATAACTTCCTGACCGTGAGAGCCGTTCAGCAGTGGAACTCTCTGCCCCAGAGTGTGGTGGAGGCTTCTTCTTTGGAAGCTTTAAAGCAGAGGCTGGATGACCATCTGTCAGGGGTGCTTTGAATGCAATTTTCCTGCTTCTTGGCAGGGGTTGGACTGGATGGCATGTGAGGTCTCTTCCAACTCTAAGATTCTAACAAGCATATAATTAGAATCTAATTATCAATATACAATTTATTTAATAATATATAATTTTATAACCATATTATATACAATTTTTGTTGGTTCAATTTTGATAGTATTTCTGTGTTTTTGAGTGCACTGTGACCCGCCTCGAGCCAGCAGAAGAGGCAGTCAAGAAATAAAATAATAATAGTTATTATTATTATTATTATTATTATTATTATTATTATTATATACTTCAAATATAATATGTATTATTTTTATATTTATATTAAACCAATCAGGCACTGGGGTCTTTGGATCAAAACAAGTTTTATCTCTGGGTTTTAAAGAACAATGCTGAAACTTATTTGCAATGTCCAGATGTTTCAGGCATCTCCATCTAATCTTTAACTGGAAATCTGTCTAGAATTGAGTAGCGTAGCTTTTATTCATCAACCGAAGCCTCCGGTTCAACTGCAGGATGGCTGTTCCCCAGAGCCTGCCACACTAGAAATGGACCAGATCGCCTTCTTGAACGTTGCCCTGCTTTGGCACATGGCCAGGCGTTGTGTGCTAGACACCAGATGGCCTGCCATTGTGAGTGGGAGAAATGGGTAATCTGGCACGCTTCCTAAGGGACAATTGTTGTCGCATAAATTTTGGCAGGAAGAAAACTTTGTTTGGTTCTTTAAAAAAAAATTAACCATTTCATAATACAGAATTAGAAGCTACTTTTTCAGACAACAGTTTCCAGAATCTCTCAGGCAGCATAACAAGCTGGGATGTTCTGAAAGCTACTGTCCCAAAAAGTCAACAGTGCCTTATGATTTAACTGAGTTTGCCAAGTTTCTCGAAGAAGAAAAGGATTACCTTACCCACCTTCCAAACAGCCAATTTATTCTTTATTCAGTTTTGCATTTTCCCTAGTTGAGAAAAGGAGAGCTGCACATACCATATGATTGTAAGTTTAGATCCCCTTACAATCAGATTACTGTCCTTAATTTTATCATGAGGCATTTCAACCTTTTTAGAAAGAATCCCAACTAATGACCTTCTAAGAGGGTTGAAATATTGTCAGCTTTGAGTTTTACAGTAAGAGCAGTTGTGATGATTTAGAAGAATGTACACCTACCTCTTTCTCCAACAGTGAAGAAGGGTAGAAGGCTGTTAAATGGTACAACTTTTTATTAAACAGAAATGCGGTTCTATGTGATGAATGGCACTGTTGATGTCCTGTGAAGACAATGTTTGACACATTGCAGTCGTTTCTGTAATGTGACATATAATAACAAAAAGTGTTATAGATCCATATAGGCAACAGGTCAACTTGAATTCTGAAACTGCCATCTATTTTTCCCCTGGACAGAACTTACGTATTTTTAATGGTTGTGCCAGACTGAAATCCAACAGGTGCAACTTTCTCATTGCATGAGGATCACTGGTATGGGATTATATATTTTCACCAGCTGAAGTTTTACCTGTTGTGGTTTTGCCAGAAAGGAATAAGAGAAAGAGAGAGAGCAGATGTTTGGAGTCAAAACATGTGAAAATAGATATTGTCATATCAAAGTTAAAAAAGTTAAACTGCGGGGAGGAAACAAGGAAAAACTTAAAAATAGGCTTCTCCTCATCCCCAACAAGGTCTAAAAATCTGGTAAGAAACTGAGCCACAGACTATTAATTTAGAAACACGCACACACTTATTATATTGCTAAGCTGTCTCATCAGCACCATGACCCTGAATTGAAAGTTCACTGCACAGTTCAGCCTTGACAACTCAATTCAGCCAAAAAGCTTTCAAGTCATCCCCTTTTGTCATGATTGAGGGGGATGGATGACAAAAGAAGACACCACCTGCTATGGCCTTTCAGAGCAAGTGGAAAATTGTGACAACCAACCTGGGCCTCCAGAGAGTTATTTCTCTTGTCCAGAAAGCATTTGGCTCATTTAAAGAATACTGCAGTTTGCCAAAAGTTGCTTCCCTATCATCTTTGTCTTTTATAAATGTGCATTGCCTTAAAAACAATTCTGGGACCTACACACACTCTTAATACTATAACAGACTGCAGGGGGTTGGATTAATACAGACAGTCCCCACTTTATAAATATCCAACTTACAAACAATTTAAGAACAGGGGTGAGACAATAGGAAGTGAGAGAAATTTATTTATTTGTCACATTTATGGAAGGGGACTCAGGCCAGCTCACAACAAAGGCACAATTCGATGCCTTAAATACATATAAAATAAAACAACATATACTTTAAAATCACATAATTAAAACATATTGCTTAAAAACATTACTTAAAATCACATAATCCAAAAAACATATTCCAGGAGCCATTCTGATTGTCATTTGCATTGTTCATTGTTGCACTATGAAATCATTGATGCACTGGGAGTCATTTTGCAAATGTTTGGGCCCACAACCAAGATTTGACTTTCTTCTTGAAGTTCACGAGGGAAGGGGCTGATCTAATTTCTCTGGGGAGGGAGTTCCATAATCGAGGGGCCACTACAGAGAATGCACTGTCTCATCCCCACCAATTGCACCTACAAGAGGGGTGGGAACGAGAGCAGGGCCTCCCCGGATGATGATTCTTAGAGGGAGATACGTTTGGACAGGTAAGCTGGGGCAGAACCGTTTAGGGCAGTGGTTCTCAACCTGTGGGTCCCCAGATGTTTTAGCCTTCAACTCCCATAAATCCTAACAGCTGGTAAACTGAGATTTCTGGGAATTGTAGGGCAAAACACCTGAGGTCCCAGAGGTCGAGAACCACTGGTTTAGGGCTTTAAAAGCTAAAGCCAGCACTTAGAATTGTGCTAAGTAGCAGACTGGCAGCCAGTGGAGCTGGCGCAATGGGGAGGGAGGTGTCTGCTCCCTGTACCCTACTCCAGTAAGGAACCTGGCTGCTGCATGTTGGACTACTAGAAGTTTCCGAAGAGTCTTGAAAGGCAACCCCACATAGAGCGCATTGCAGTAGTCTATCTGAGATGTAACAAGAGCATGAACCACTGGCCAAGTCTGACTTCCCAAATCTAGGAAGGAGAATTCACTGCCAAAAGAGTTATCATGGGGGAAAGGAGTCTCCACTGAAGATTTAGCACCAATCATTGTTTCCACAAGAAGCCAACTTTTTCAAAATCCAATTATCACAGGGACAGAAAGAGAAGTGAAACTTTCTGAATAGGGGCACAGGCAGCAAAACAAACAACACAGGGGTGTTAACCCTTCTCTATGCTATCTATCTGTATGTGTGGATGGAGTTACACTTTAAAAATTTACCTGTTCCAACTTACAAATAAATCCAACTTAAGAACAAACTTACAGAGCGTATCTTGTTCATAACTTGGGAACTGCCTATACTACTTTCTTGTAAAGTAAGAAGTGAATTTTGTGCACAGAAACCTTTTGTATTTGGATAGCTGTGAAGATGTTGGCGTGTTTGGAGAATCCAAAATTTAAACAAGACATAAGGTGGACATTATGGTATAAATTTGGTTGTATATTTGTGGAGACCTGGATAATGGGGGCTCAACCAGGTTTCCGGCTAACTAGACAAAATAGTACAAAGTAGTATTGAGTAGTATCCCCTACTCTAGATGTGTTCTGGTACTGCTCCCATCATCCCTTGTTGGCAGTTGTAGCAGAACATAAGTGAACAGCTTGAGGTTGGAGAAGCATGATGTGCAGTGCAGCCTGCAGTTATGAAATATGCAAGAGAGAGTTCTCGTACAGTATCCCGCTTGCGTGCCCTTTGATATCATCTCAGTTTTCCCCATGGTGAATCAGCTAATATTGAATTCTAAATGGTAATCTCCTTGATGCAGAAACTGCTCAGGTTTCCCCTTACATGGCCAACTTAGGTAGCCTGAACACGGCTGCTAATACTACATAACTTTTGTGGAGTTTTGTTTGTTCAAGTACAGTATTCATTATCAGCTGCAGGTGAAGTTCTTCAGTGACTCAAATTGATAATTGTCTTTCAGAACTACAAAAAGATTATTTTGTATTTTTCAACTCAGCTGGAAACAAGAATCTACCCATGGCAGCTGTTAAGCAGGTGAAATGTCGTTCTTATATCACACATCCTCCAGCCATCTCAAAAGGAATTAAGCTTTATTCTAGAGGAATGGTGTTTAATTATTCTGATCTTTTGTCAGATTTGATGCCCCCCTCTCATAGTTGGCAAAATCCATGCTTCCTTTTTCCTCCCCTTTGTGCTATAATCACAAAAGGCAAATATTGCAAAAATTATTTCAAGAGAAACCTAGAATGGTGACTGGGCCAGAAGTAAGACCCACTCCTTCACCCCAGATATCCTTATGTCATGCTCACGTTTTTCTAGTACAAGATGGTGGTTACCATCGTGGTTTGGGATTGGGATATTTTCTATAATATTAATTTGAGTGATGGGAAGTCTGAAGTTTTTTCTTCCTAAATGGATTTGATACAAATATTCTGGTTTAAATACTTTTATCAATTCCCTATTTGTCCCAATTAGTGTAGACCGTGGTCTCAATGCAGATGTCATGAATCAATACTTATCTAGGTCCTTTTCATCTGGTGGGTTTCATCTAGTTGGAGAAAACCCGCCAATTTTCTCCAATCAATGAACAATTAGATTTAGCCCCACATTTCCAGCAGCAGTTATATTGTCAGCTTTATTCCGTGAAAACTTATGTCACATTGCATCTATCCAAAACCGAGATTAAAATATAATGGACTGGATCCATTATCTGCCCTATATTTACAGCAATGGTTCCCAACCTTTTTTTGACCAGGGGCCACTTGAACAGAGACCACTTTGACCATGGACTACTTTTACCAGGAGCCACGCTCCAACATTAGAACTAAAAGGGTTACGAATCAGTTCTTGGTCAACTTTAGATTTGGTTTGGTTATATGGGGTGCTGACTCAGAAAATTGTATTGGATAGACCGTATCAGCTTTAGTTTCTGAAACAAAACATATGCCATCCAGTAGTGACCATCTGCTCACCCACAGAAAACCACATTTAATAATCTAGAGCTGATGTGGTAATAGTAATATTTTGTGAGTAGTCAGCCTCTCCCCTTCCAACATCCCTGTTGCCTTGGCATTATAAGAGGGTTTTGCAAGACCAGGCACTCTCATTGTTGTGTGGTTTCAAGGCAATGGTGTAGTAATGGTCACAGACCATATTTTCGTTCTTGCGGCCCACTGGTAGTCCACAGACCACAGGTTGGGAACCACTGATTTACAGAATATTCTGGTGCCTGGTATTAGCCATCTCATCTGTTAACTCTCCCCAGTTCATTCCATTTGCATGGTAATCCTACTGCTGCCTAGCATTTTCTTGAGAAGCTTCCTTGCAGGAAAATTGGCTTCCTCTAGATGGAAGGGGAGTAAGACTTTTTGCCCACGAGTCCTCTAAAATGTCCACCGCCAATTTATAGCATAAGTGGTCCTTTCACAATCTTGGAGGTTGCAGAAGCAGTGGTTTTCTGTTAAAACCAGTCCAGTCCAGTCTAGGTGTGTTCTTGGAACCCAATGTGGGCCTCCAGACCTTTAGAAGTCGCCTTTACCCATACCAGATCAGTTGTAGAGACTCAAATCTGCATCCATTCCCAATAAAACAACCATTCCCTCTAAATTCATACAGAATAGCTCCTCTTCCTCACCCATTACCTTTACTGACAGTAAGCAGGTCCACAGAACTGTATATAAAGAACACACTTTATTTGGAATAATCCAACAAGTACTTGCTACACACAAAGACTTCCAGCAATGTTAAGGGATATAAATTAAATCAACACCTTTTTTGTAATTCTGTCATAGCTGACATATAAATTAAATAAATTAGAAGTATTTTACAAGACAAGAATTATCAGGTAGAATATGCAATCATATATCCTCGCTCTCCTTTATTCTGCTTAAAGCTATTATATGACTGTATCCAAAATCTAAGGTAGAAATGTCTGAATGCACAAGGCTTGCCTGCTAAGTAGTCATTGACACACTGTTCTTAAACACAAATATTAGTAAAGAAGTCTGGCAGCAGACAGTTTCAGCAGATGTGAGTACATTTTAATTCACCCATGATGAGATTTTACTGTTTTTGTTTACAAACAAGCTGGATCTACACTGCCATATAATCCAGTTTCTGAATCCTGATTATCTGCTTTACACTGGATTACACAAGTCTACAGTGTTATATAATCCAGTTTCCTTGACAGGAAGATGGGAGTGGTAAAGAAGAAGGGCTTTGAACAACATTATCACGGCTGAGCTTCTCATTCACAGTTGCATAGTGGCCTCATACTCAGAGTCTTCCCGCACTCAGTGCTCTTCAAATGTGTTGAAATGTATCTCCCCACAGCCCCAGGAAGCATGGCTGAATACTATCGTATTCAGCCACAGTTCAACATATTTGAACGCCCACAGCACATCGTATGGGAGCCACAGTTCAACATATTTGCAAGGAACCAGGTTGTGGGATCCTGTCTCAGTGCAATTATTATGCAAAGGAATCTTATAACACTTTTGAAACTTAACTGAAAGAAAGAAGTTGGTAGGATAAGCTTTTGTAGACTCAGTCAGCTTCATCAGATGCATGTTACAAGATCCCTTTTCATACTGATTCAGATCAACTTGGTTATGTCTTTGATTCCTACCAACATAGACTACAGTAGCAAATCACAAATTGAGGTCTGGTTATTGCCTCAGATGTCCTAAAATTTTGTCCTTTGAAAAAGTGTCTCTCAAACTTTGGTCTTTGAGGTATTTTGGACATCAGCTCCCAGAATCTCTCAACAGAAGCGGAGGTGACCAGGAGCCCCATCTACACTGCCATATAATGCAGTTTCATAATGCAGCTGGTAAAGATCTAACAACCAAAAGGTTGCCAGTTCAAAGCCCCAGATCGGCATGAGCTTCCAACTCTCAGCCTGGCTCACTGTTCACCTAAGCAGTTTGAAAACAGCTTGAGCTGTAAGTAGAGAAATTCGGAGCCACTAAAGAAGTGGGGGAGGTATTTCATGACTCCATAAAGAAAAAGATCAGAAAATGCCTGGTGACCAAAAGGAAGGAGGAAATTCTGATGGCTCTTCATCATAGAAGATGGAGCGACAGCACCCCCTGTGGCTGGATTCGAGCACAACCTCCAAGGCACAAAAAATTAAAAAGCTGGATGTCGACACAACATACCTCTTTTCTGTTCTGTCTGTCTAAAATGGCATTGAATGTTTGACCTGTATGTGTACTGTGATCCGCCCTGAGTCCCCTGGGGTGATAGGGCGGAATATAAACAAAGTGTTATTATTATTTAATTGCATTGAACTGCATTGTATGAGTTTAAACTGCATTATATGGCATCGTAGATGGGACTGAATCTTCTGGGATCTGAAGTCCATAAAAGATGAAAGACTCAAAGTTTGAGAACCAGGTTTAGAGCACGTAAAAGAATCCTGTTATTCTCAAGCGTTCCTCAGCCCAATAAGCTCAAATTGAAAGATTTCCCTGGAAAGTGAGTGTTAGGAAACTGCCAACTTGGTTATATCATTTTCAGGAGTAGCCATATACAATCAATTTGCTTGATTACTTGAAATTGCACACTGGAATTGAGATTTGGTGGTATTATGGTAACTATCTAAGCCTTCTCTTAATTAACCCAAGTGAATCGGGAGAGAAGCAAAAATATTGGGATGATGTCTGATCACACATCCAAATCAGCAATCAGAAATGTGTATGAAAGAAAAACATGAACTGAGTTGTTTGCATAGTTTGCAGTCCTTTTTGTTATCTTCCTTGTAAATTCAGCAATTATTTCCTTCGAAAAGTGTGGTGGGCACTGCTTTCTTTAGCAGATAAACATAATAGCATTTAGTCCTTTGTCAAAGAGCAATGCTGAGGCTTGTCAGTCGGCTTCAAAGGCACCATTGGTGGCCCCCAGGTACTCCGATTTCTTTTTATGCTTCATCCATATTTTTCGCAGGAGGCTGGGCGTGCCATACAAAGTGCTGCCTGTCAAGGGTAAGGAAGCCTCGCTGCCTTGAACTGCGCTGATGTTGTCTTCAGTGTTTTTTCGAGAGGGCTTTCCATGCCTGAAGGTGAAAGTGGGACAGGTTCAACATTTCAAACTTCCTCTAAAATAATTACAGGACATTTCCAAGTTTAGGAAATGGTCTAGTAGTACAATGACACGTATCCCCAACCACCCCGCGAAATATTACTTATTTTACAAGTCATATTCTGATGAAATATTAGGTAGTAAAGGTAAAGGTTTCCCCTTGACATTACGTCTAGTTGCGTCTGACTCTGGCAGGTGGTGCTCATCTCCATTTCTAATTCGAAGAGTCGGTGTTGTCCGTCGACACCTCCAAGGTCATGTGGCCAGCATGACTGCATGGAGTGCCATTACCTTTCCCTCGAAGCAGTACCTATAGATCTACTCACATTTGCATGCTTTTGGACTGCTAGATTGGCAGAAGCTGGGGCTAACAGCGGGAGCTTACCCCTGCTCCTCTTTATGAATACAAATTCAGTGGGAAGAGCTAAATCCTTTTTCAGAATCGGTGTGGACCAGCCCCATAAGTGATGCACATGCATTTTCAGTGCAAGAATGAACACTACACTGCTTTCTTCATGCAGCATTTAGACTGAGTATAACAGAAGACTTTTCCAGGTCTTAATCGTCATGGGATAGAAGTGGATTTTCAGCAGCACTGATAGAAAGATCCGCTGATACCTTGAAAACTGTCAGTTCCCTATCCTGATTCTATCTTGATGTTGTTGTTGTTAACATAGTGTTTAAGAGGTATTTTTCTGATACCAAATAACTGGTAGCTAGTTATAGTGTTTAGGAGATATATCTTTTAGCTACCATTATTCTAATGAAGGGTCCTAAATTAAAATCAGCCTGAAACACATTGGCTTTATTTTGGAATAAATGAAATATGTTTTCATTTATTCCAGACTTGGCGACGGTAGTTCACACTATGGTTATATTCTGAATAGATTATTGCAACATGCTCTACGTGGAGTTGCCCTTGAAGACTGTTTGGAAGCTTCAAGTGGTCCAACGGGCAGCAACCAGACTGCTCACTGGAGCGGGGTACAGGGAGCACACAACCCCCTGTGACCTCAGATCCACTGGCTGCCTATCTGCTACCTAGCACTATTTAAAGTGCTGGCTTTAGCCTATAAAGCCCTAAATGGTTCCAGCACAGCTTACACATCTCCCTCTATGAACCAACTTGGAGGTTAAGATCATCCAGCAAGGCCCTGCTCTCGGTTCCATCTCCTTCGCATGCGTGACTGTTGGGAACGAGAGACAGGGCCTTCTCAGTGGTGGCCCCTCATTTGTGGAATTCCCTCCCCAGTGAGATCAGATCAGCCCTTTCTCTCCTGACCTTCAGAAAAAAAACTTAAGATGAGGCTATCGACAAGTAATTGAAGCAATGCAATAAGTGATCATGAATCAATGTGATTGACAAATGGAACAGCACTGGATTATGTTTTGGATGGCATGATTTTAATTGATGTGTAATAATTTATGTTTTAATAGTGTGGTTTTAATTCTAATTGTTTATTTGATATCTGAATGTACGGCATCGAATTGCTGACTGTTGTAAGGCCATCTTCGGGGTGAGAAAGGCGGGATAGAAATATGGTAAATCAATCAATCAATCAACCAACCAATTTTCATTTATTCCAAAAGAGTGTTTCTCTTCATATCCTATGATAGAAAAATATTCTCTGGGTTTCAAGGCTTGAGCCCTTCTCAACCCTAGCTAGAGATATCTGTGATTTAATCGTAAACTTTTATACGCAGATGACTGCTCTAACGTTGAGCTAAGGCCTGCAAATAAGTAAAATAAACATTACTTATTTGCAGTTTTAAATCTTTCTTTCTGTATTAATGATTCTCAGTTTGAGTCCCTTGTTGGCAGCCATCATGATCTTTGTAGCCTAAATAGTAACGGCAATGAGAGTGAAGTAATGTATAAGGAAAAGAAACTTACTGTTCTGCAAAAATGCAATTCTTTGTTGCTGGTTCTGTGGCTGTGATGCGTTTTGCAATGTGATTTGATATTGGGGATGCTTGAGGCTGCTAAATCATATGAGAATTCAAAATGTTAGTAATTGATATGCAATGGCCATAACAAAATCCAGTTAAACACACAAAACAAACAGGGCTGTTGGCTTTCCAGAAGAAAGAATATTTACATCATATTTAGAGCTGGCTCTGATCCTTTAGGTCTGAACTATGTACTTCAGATTTATTGTAATTGGTATTTTAATGGCCTTGAATTATTTTATAAAGCAAGTGGGATTTTTAAAAAAGTTAATAGCATAAGCAAAAGCCATAATGTGTAGTGTTGGGAGTCTGTGAAAATATATTTTTTGCTATATATCTGGTGTGAACAAATCTAGTTGTCCATTCTGATTACAGTGCCAGCTTATATTGCCAATTTCCCATTGATTCAGTGGGTCAACTCTAGTTGACTTTGTCAATACTGCTATTATTTTATACAATTACTGAAATTATAGACTTAATAAGTTGGATCCAGAATGATCAATCTATGGACATAAGGCATTTAGAGATGTAAATCTTCATTTATTTCATTACAAGAACAAAAATATCTAAAGTTTGCTTTTGTCCATTGAGCAAGATTACAGTGTTTTGTGCATTTTTGGATGATCTTTTTGTTAGAACTTTAACAAAACGTTTTTGTGTGCAGAAAAGCATTTCATGTTGCTTTTTGCACACTGAATCAATGCTTTGTCCATGGCTTTCATAACCTGAATCACTGGGTTGCTGTGAGTTTTCTGGGTTGTATGACCATGTTCCAGAAGCATTCTCTCCTGACGTTTCACCCGCATCTATGGCAGGCAGAGGTTGTGAGGTCTGTTGGAAACAAGGCAAATGTAATTTATATATCTGTGGAATGTCCAGGGTGGGAGAAAGAACTCTTGTCTGTTTGAGGCAAGTGTGAAGGTTGCAGTTGGCCACCTTGATTAGCATTTAATGGCCTAGCAGTTTCATTGTGCGGCTTCTTACTACCTGAGGGAATCCTTTGTTGGGAGGTGTCAGCTGGCCCTGATTGATTCTTGTCTGAAATTCCCCTGGTTTTTTTTAGTGTTGCTCTTTATTGTCCTGATTTTAGAATTTTTTAAAATATTGGTAGCCAGGTTTTGTTCATTTTCATGGTTTTCTCCTTCCTGTTGAAATTGTCCACATGCTTGTGGATTTCACCTCCAAACAAACAATTCCCCCAGGCAGGAGGCAGCCAGACTTTGAAACTGCAAGGCTATTCAATACTAATCAAGGTAGCCAATTGCAACATTCACACTTGCTTCAAACAGACAAGAGTTCTTTCTCTCATCTTGGACATTCCACAGATACATAAACCTCACTTGCCTAGTTTCCAACAGACCTCACAACCTCTGGGGATGTCTGCCATAGTTGTGGGCAGAACATCAGGAGAGAATGCTTCTGGAACATGGCCATACAGCCCGGAAAACTCACAGCAACCCAGAATCAATGCTTATTTGTCAGCTCCTCTTCTGTCCTATTCCAAAATAGCTTGTGTTCCAAATCAACTTTTGATAAGAGTGTTGAGATGCTGAAACACATTTTGATTGAAAAATTGATTAGAAATGTGAGAGTGTTCTTTATCTCCACCCTTCATGCTACTCTGAAGAATCTTCCAAAATAACCTTTCAGAAGATACAGAGTCTGCTCAGAGAAGGAAAAATGGTAAATCTGTCTTTTGGTCTCCTTCAAAACAGGCCAGCATCAGTGTGAGAAGAACTCCTTCAATTGCTATTGTAGAAAGGAAGTCAAAGTGAGATAACACTTGAATTGTTGGCCAAGATTTTCATTAGATTTGTTTTTACAGCTTCTGTCTTGACCTTTTGATCACTATGGTTTTATCTTTTGATGTTCCCTTCTTGTTATCTGTACTGGAAGGAAGATCCAATCAAGCCAAGCACAAAAATGCCATTTAAAAAAGATTAAGGATGTTAAATGAAGTTGAACTTAAACACATGAGCCTGTGTAACAATTGTGACTAATATCTTCTAGATATATAGTTTTACTCACCAAAGTTTTTGTATCCGATTGACTATTGCTACAGCAGAATGACCGTTGTTTAGTTATTCCTGCTGCAATGCACAAAACAAAGGAGAAATGTAATTAATAATACTTTTTTGGTATAAATTACACAGCATTGTATAGTGAAGTGTAATGGAACGACTAACACAGGTATGGGTAAACCCAGGCCCGGGGGCTGGATGCAACCCCTTGGGCTCTTTTCTCAAGTCCTACTCTCTCCCACCATTTTATTCTTCCTTCCTTCTCTCTCCTTCCCTCCCTCGTTCTCCTTACCTTCCACCCTTTCGTCCTTCCTTCCTTCTCTCTTTCTCTTCCTTCTTTCTACCCTTCCCCCCTTTTGTCTTTCCTTCTACCTTACCTCCCCCACTTCCCTCTCTCTTTCTAATTCCATCTTTCTCTCTTCCCTCCCTCTATCCATTTTCTACTTCCTTTCTTCCTTCCCCTTTGTCTTTCCTTCCTTCTCCCTTTCCTTTATCCTTTCTTTTTTTTTCTTCCTCCTTCCCCACTTTCTATTCATCATTCCCTTCCACCCTTTCATCCTTCCCTCCCTTTTTTCTTCCCTCCCTTCTCTCTTCCCTCCCTCCTTCACTCCCTTCTTTTTTGTCTTTTCTTCCTTCCCTCTTTCCTTTCCCTTCCCTCTCTCCCTCTTTCTTCTTCCTTTCATCCTTCCCTTTTGTCTTTCCTTCCTTCTCTCTTTTCTTTATCCTTCCCCTTTCCTTCCTCCTTCCCTTCCTTCCTCTGTTCCCTTCCATCCTTCCATCCTTCCTTTCCTTTTGTCTTTCTTTCCTTTTCTCTTTCCTCCTTCCTTCCCTCTCTCCGTCTTTCTCCTTCCTTCCTTCCCTTTTGTCTTTCCTTCCTTCCTTCTCTCTTTCCTTTATCCTTCCCTTTATTCTTCCTCCTTCCCTTCCATCCTTTCATCCTTCCTTCCATCCTTTCATCCCATCCTTTCTTTCCTTCCCTCTTTCCTCCCTCCTTCCCACTCTCCCTCTTTCTCCTTCTATCCTTCCCTTCCTCCCTTTTGTACTTCCTTCCCTTTTGTCTTTCCTTCCTTCCCTCTTTCCTCCCTCCTTCCCTCTCTCCCTCTTTCTCCTTCCATCCTTCCCTTCCTCCCTACTGTCCTTCCTTCCCTTTTGTCTTTCCTTTCCTTCTCTCTTTCCTTCCTCCTTCCCTTCCTTCCTCCTGTCACCAGGAAGCCAGTCTTCCTAGCAGGGAGTGCTAGCATGCAGCTCCCAAGTTAGACAGTGTGCCCATGCCTGCATTAACACCATCTGGTTCATTCTTGTGTGTTTGTGGAATGAGAGATCAGAGGGATAAATCAAAGAGCCCACTCTAAAATAAATCAGTTGAAATCAATCTGACTTAATAGTTGCATTTATTTTATGGGCTTCTCTAGTTGCAAATTAAATTGGATTTAACCCTAAATTACTTTTGAAGGGAAACATAGGCCAAGTAGGCAGATGTTGCTTTCTTGTGTCTCTCCTTCATAGAATTTGCGAGTCTCCAATCAGTGTTTTAAAGACAAGTAATATCAATAACAGTGTTTCAAAGATAAGTAATATCAGTATCAATAACAAGTAATATCAATTTGATGGTGTGATCTACTAAAAAAAAGAGTTTCTTTTCGTAGGAGATAATAAGTGACTTCCATATTGTATTTATTCAGCACTGTAGACATATGTTTAAGCATTATGTATTTTCCAGTCTTTTCTCATGACTTTCCTGTAGAGCCAGCATGGGCTGTTAGGAATTGTGGGAGTTAAAGTCAAAAACACCTGGAGGGCCCAAGTTTGCCCATGCCTGCTATAGAGGAAGAGTCTTCTGTTTTGATTAAAATGGGCAATATATTAATTAAGCACTGTTTAGGTAAGCCAGAGCATGGGAAAGTTACTTTATTGGATTACTATTGCCAGAATCCCCGACCAGCATGTATTCCAAGCTCTGTTGTAGATAAATAACCTTCCTATGCCATTATTACTATCCGTTTAATGAGATCTTTTTAAGTGGGGAAAACAACCTAAAAAAACATTTATTTGTTGACATGGATTGCTTCAGACAGAAATGCTTCCTGCAAATGAAAAGTTGTTCGGTCTCAAAGTTTTGGTTTACTCAGACGATAGCAAATGTTGGCTGGTTGTCCAAAAGCCAGTTTTTATTTTATTGTTGAAGGCTTTCATGGTCAGAATCACTGGGTTGTTGTAGGTTTTTCAGGCTGTGTGGCCATGTTGCAGAAGCATTCTCTCCTGATATTTCGCCTGCATCTGTGGCAAGCATCCTCAGAGGTTGCGAGGTTGCTTGCCACAAATGCTGGCGAAATGTCAGGAGAGAATGCTTCTAGAACATGGCCATACAGCCCAAAAAACCTGCAACAACCAAGTTTTTATTGTTAGAGTTTAATAGGGCTATCCTTCCAGACAATTAATAAGCCTGTGATTTGAATGAGGAACTGGCTGGGACTTACTCTGTGTTGTAGTGCACTTTGTAGGACTGGAGAAAGATGCTTGCTGTCTCTTCGGCGTCTGTCTGAAATCTTGCCCACCTTCATCTTTGCAGAAGACTTGAACAAGATCTCTTTTATGTGGCGACAGCTCCTCTGCCCTTGGAGGATGGTAGTCAGATAGGGCCACCACCTATGGAAAGAAGATTAAATTGTCTCGTGTTATACTGGACAGAATTAAGGACATCTTGCTTGAATCTTGCTATGCCTGCAGGGTCAAAAATACATTGTTATCCCATTATGGACATCAACTGCTTATAGTGGTGAAAATGAATTTGTGCCCACAGACTCATCATCTATGCCTGGTTTTTTCAGGTTGAACTTGTGCATTATATATTGTGTTTGGGCATCCTACAGTTTGAATTTGGTTGCACATCATGTATTATGTTGGATTGTAGATATTATAAGTCGGATACAGATTTAGGTTTGGGGAATCCCAGGCCCTGGGGCTAAATTTGAACCTTCCAATGTGGCCTTGTGGGATTCCTCAAATAGTAATATTTTTTCCTCAAGAAATGCTGTAGTAAGACCACGACTAAAGACTTACTTACTTACTGACTTTACTTACTTAGGCAATCCCTCATAGCTCGAGGATGATTGTCTTGCAGATGTAGCGTTTCGGTGGTGGGTTTGTAGGTGGCTGTGGAGCCCTGTTCTTGATCCGCATAGTCTCCCGCAGTGAGTACATTGGTATCTAATTGGAAGGCAGTCCTGGTCAGGGTTGGCTTGACATTGCTTCCTCTTGGCACATTTCTCCCTTTCTCCCTACATTTGTGCCTCTTTGAATTCTGCAGCACTACTGGTCACAGCTGACCTCCAGTTAGAGCGCTCAAGCACCAGGGCTTCCCAGTTTTAGGTGTCTATGCCACAGTTTTTAAGGTTGGCTTTAAGCCTATCTTTAAACCTCTTTTCCTGTCCACCAACATTCCTTTTTCTGTTCTTGAGTTTGGAGTAGAGTAACTGCTTTGGGAGATGGTAATTGGGCATTCAGACAACGTGGCCAGTCCAGTGGAGTTGATGACAGAGGAGTATCGCTTCAATGCTGGTGGTCTTTGCTTCTTTCAGGACGCTGACATTTGTCCGCCCGTCTTCCCAAAAGATTTGCAGGATTTTTCGGAGACAAACCAGCACTGGATCCCATTCAACTGAACAACTATAGGTCAATGTCAAATATTCCCTTTCTGGGCATGGTTCTCGCTTGCTAAGGTGTTCCTGCGAGTGTCTCTGTACATCTTAGAAAGTTGTTTCTTGATTTAAGACGTTGGCAAAAGAAAAATCCCTTGACAAGTTCTGTTCCCTTTCCCCAAACTGGGGATTCTTCAGCCAAAGACAAAACTTTGCTCACTGCCCACTCAACAGCAGCTGAGCATCCAAGTTCCAGACTCTTTCACACATGAAATACTACTACTGCTACTACTACTACTACTAATAATAATAATAATTTGTCACCTGCCTCTCTTTATGGCTTGAGGCGGGATGCAACACAGTTAAAGCACACCAACATAAAATGCCTGGAGAAGTAAGTGACCCCTTCCAGTTTAATCTTTTTTGCTGTTCTTGTTGCTACACTCTAGATCTGATTAATCACTGGCAGATAAATGCCAGCAGCTAAAGTAGCGATTAATCTGCCAGCAATTAATTTAGTATATCCTGGATCAGGCAGATGACCCCCCCCCCCCCACCAGGGAAAAAGAGCTCTCTTTAGATGTAGGATTGTTTCTGTTTCATTCTTTTTCTCTGGAGGGGCATCTTTGTGCATGTACGCACGTATGTGCCAAACTAGGAAAAGGGATGGTATTGGACAGGACCTCCCAAATGCTGCGCGTGATACGCTTTTAGCCAAGTGAAGACTGCAAGAAGACCTGCAGGAAAGATTCCAAAGCTGCATTTGGGACAAGAGGAAATGGGTTTTGTGTGGAAAAGGTTACTATTTCAGTGGGAAAAGGGCCTGGTGTGATAAAGTCTTCAGTCTCTGCTACAAGTAACCTGCAGTTATGAAATCAATGTACGATTTTTTACTTCTGTCACCATACTTTCACCATAAAATAAAGGAACTGAAAGTACCATCACATGGTTTTAACAGAGGGTATTTTTTTCTGCAGAGCAATTGTTCTATTTATCTTAATAATGCAACTGGGTTGCTGTGAGTTTTCCGGGCTGTATGGCCATATTCCAGATGCATGTTCTCCTGACATTTCACCCACATCTATGGTAGGCATCCTCAGAGGTTGTGAGGTCTGTTGGAAACAAGGCAAGTGGGTTTTATATATCTGTAGAATGTCCAGGGTGGGAGAAAGAACTCTTCTCCATTTGAGGCAAACGACTTTGATTAGCATTGAATGGCTTTACAGCTTCAAAACCTGGCTGCTTCCTGCCTGGGGGAATCCTTTGTTGGGGAGGTGTTGGCTGGCCCTGATTGTTTCCTGTCTGGAATTCCCCTGTTTTTGACTGTTTCTCTTTATTCACTGTCCTGGTTTTAGACTTTTTTAAAATACTGGTAGCCAAATATTGTTCATTTTCATGGTTTCTTCCTTTTTGTTGAAATTGTCTGTGTAGTCTGACCTGGTCTAAAAAGAACAACACTAAAAAACAGGGGAATTCCAGACAGAAAACAATCAGGGGCTTGTTTTCTGACTGTGAGAGCCGTTCACCAGTGGAAGCCTCTGCCCCGGAGTGTGGTGGAGGCTCCTTCTTTGGAAGCTTTTAAACAGAGGTTGGATGGCCATCTGTCAGGGGTGATTTGAATGCAATATTCCTGCTTCTTGGCAGGGGGTTGGACTGGATGGCCCATGAGGTCTCTTCCAACTCTTTGATTCTATGATTCTCTGAGGGCCAGCTAACACCACTCAACAAAGGATCTCCCCGGCAGGAAGCAGCCAAGCTTTGAAGCTGCAAGGCCATTCAATGCCAATCAAAGTAGCCAATTACAACATTTACACTTGCCTCAAACAGTCAGTAGTTCTTTCTCTCTCCATGGATATTCCAAAGAAAAATAAACATCACTTGCCTAGTTTCCAACAGACCTCACAACCTCTGAGGATGCCTGCCATAGATGTGGACAAAATATCAGGAAAGAATGATTCTGAAACATAGCCATATACAAGATTTTAACAATTGGAATGACTGGTGTTGCACTGTTTATTCATACACGTTTGCTCAATTTCCTAGCAGTACTCTTTCTTAGAAAGAAGATTGTGGCCAGATTTATTTGCTTATATGAGCGACTAAAACCAGTGCTGTAATAAGTCAGATGACTTATGTAGGTCAGGAAACCAAGCCAAGAGTAGCACCATTTAGATTCAAACAAGATTGGAGGCTTCCCTAGGTCATGATGAGCAGGCAAGGCAAATCGCTAGGATTATCTTGAAATCACTTTTCTTTTCTAATTGTGTCAGAAAAGCTAATGTGAGTTTGGCTATGATTCAGATGAATGGCAGCAGCACCCAAATTAGCAAGCAATTCTTGAGATGTTTGATTCCTTTTTTAAAAAAGTTTTTCCAGCAGCTGTTTGTTGGGAGTAATTTGTTCCTCTTGTGAAGGGAAACTACAAAGAAATTGCATTGCAAAACACCTTTATTGGTTGTTTTTGTATTACACTTCAAAAGCAAGCAAACAGTAAGAACATTATTGATAGACTAGTTCAGTATTTCTCAACCTGGGGGTTGGTACCCCTGGAAGGGTCACGAGGGGGTGGCAGAGGGGTCGCCAAAGACCATCGGAAAACACAGTATTTTCTGTTGGTCATGAGGGTTCTTTGTGGGAAGTTTGGACCAATTCTATCATTGGTGGGGTTCATAATGCTCTTTAATTGTAGGTGAACTATAAATCCCAGCAATTACAACTTCCAAATGTCAAGGTCTATTTTCCCCAAACTCAACCAGTGTTCACATTTGAGTGTATTGAGTATACGTGCCAAGTTTGGTCCATATCCATCATTGTTTGAGTCCACAGTGCTCTCTGGATGTACCTGAACTACAACTTCCAAACTCAAGGTCAATACCCACCAAACCCTTCCAGGGCCCTTCCACACAACCCTATATCCCAGAATATCAAGACAGAAAATCCCACATTTTCTGGTTTATCTATCTATCTATCTATCTATCTATCTATCTATCTATCTATCTATTTATTTATTTACTACGCTTCTATACCGCCATTCTTAGCCCGAGGGCGACTCATGGCAGTTTACAAAACGGCACAATTCAATGCCCACAACAGTACAAAAATAGTTTAAACATTAAAAACATTTAACATAGATAAAAAAATCATTACAATTGACAGCAATAAACATAATAAAAAAAACTGTAAGTCCTCCGCATTTCATTAATCAGTCATTGTCCAGTCACATTGTCCAACCGTTCAACTAGAACATATGGCAGTGTAGACTCAGAAAACCCATTTCAAAGCAGATATTGTGGGATTTTCTGTGTGGAAGGGCCCTCACTATTTTCTTTTGGTCATGGGGATTCTGTGTGCCAAGTTTGGTTCAATTCCATCATTGCTGGAGTTCAGAATGCTCTTTAACTATAAATCCCAGCAACTACAACTCCCAAATGACAAAATCAATCCCCTCCCCAACCCCACCAGTATTCAAATTTGGGTGTATTGGGTAGGTAAAGGTTTCCCCTGACGTTAAGCCAAGTTGTGTCTGACTCTGGGGTGGTGGTGCTCATCTCCATTTCTAAGCCAAAGAGCTGGCATTGTCCGTAGACACCTCCAAGGTCATGTGGGCAGCATGCCTGCATGGAGCTTCCTGCAGAAGCAGTACCTATTGATCTACTCACATTTGTACGTTTTTGAACTGCTAGGTTGGTAGAAGCTGGGCCTAACAATGGGGGCCCACTCTGCTTCCCGGATTCGAACTGCCAAGCTTTCGGTCAGCAAGTTCAGCAGCTCAGTGGTTTTCCCTGCTGCGCCACCAGTGGATCCGTGAATCGGGTATTTGTGCCAAATTTGGTCCAGTGAATGAAAATACATCCTGCATATCAGGTATTCACATGATGATTCATAACAGTAGCAAAACAACAGTTATGAAGTAGCAACAAAAATAATTTTATGGATGGGGTCACCACAACATGAGGATTAAGAGGTCACAACATTAAGAGGTCACAACATTGTATTAAGAGGTCACAACATTAGGCAGGTTGAGCACCACTGGACTAGTTGAAGGAGTAGGAAATTAGCACTGTTGTACTCTAACGAGACATGCACAGCAAAAAATAAAGCAAAGCAACCTATTGAACAAAAACTTAATTTCAGTTCCAGAACCATACATCTCTATCACTCCATGCTTGCTATTTCGGGCATAATAATGATAATAAAAGAACATACACATTATTGGACACTTTCTAATGTGTATTAATATGTATTAAATGTATTAAATAGTACTGTATTAAATACTATTTAAATATGTATTAAATAGTATTTGTAAGTGTCATTAAGTCCACATAGTGTTTCTTTAAAAGCACGCATCACAGGTGAAGTACATAATACCATGATAACACAAAGAGCCTGGCAAGTTTGTGGCCAAGAGTTAATTAGGATTTCCCCATAAATATTCACACAGAGAAATTGTTTGTGTGCATGATTGCGATCAGGAAGTAGTTAACAGTAAGGCATCTGAGGTTAATTCTCAGGGGCAGTCATATGATCAAGCAGCACTTAACACTATCCTGGCACATTCAATGCACTATTGCTGTTAAAGGCTCTGGCAAGGTTCCAGGAGGTTTGCTATTTTTGCCTTGTCTGGGATTAAACAAACACATTTACTAAGATTATCAGGGTGGGAGACCTTATGTCATCTCAGGCAGACTACCAGTGCTAACATCAGGTAAAGGTGGAAAGTTTGATATTTTTCCTGCTTTATATTATCTAAAAACATTTATTTTCAGAGCCTCCCTTTCACATAAGCTTTTACTACATATATGTTAGCTGGAACAAAGCATCTGAACAGCATTATTTGCAAGTAGAGCCTGGATCTCAGAGGGCTGCCTGTAAAATTGAAGGAGATTTAACAAAACTATTGGGGTGCTTTGAATACAAGTTTCCTGCTTCTTGGCAGGGGGTAGGACTGGAGGGCCCATGAGACCTCTTCCAACTCTATGACTCTATCAAATGAGTGCTTATAAAAAGCTTTGAGTTTTGCCTTCTTTGGTGATGTCCACTTAAATATGTACATGTATATGTATATATGCTGCTGTTTAAAATATGTTTTATGTGAGGCAATGGTTTCATAGAATCATAGGGTTGGAAGAGACCTCGTGGGCCATCCAGTCCTTCCCCCGGCCAAAGCAGGAAAATTACATTCAAAGCACCCCTGACAGATGGCCATCCAGCCTCTGTTTAAAAGCCTCCAAAGAAGGAGCCTCCACCACACTCTGGGGCAGAAAGTTCCACTGCTGAACAGCTCTCACAGTCAGGAAGTCCTTCCTAATGTTCAGATGGAATCTCTTTTCTTGTAGTTTGAAGCCATTGTTCTGCATCCTAGTCTCCAGGGCAGCAGAAAACAAGCTTGCTCCCTCCTCCCTATGACTTCTTTTCACATATTTATACATGGCTATCATGTTTCCTCTCAGCCTTCTCTTCTTTAGGCTAAACATGCCCAGCTCTTTAAGCCGCTCCTCATAAGGCTTGTTCTCCAGACCCTTGATCGTTTTAGTCGCCCTCCTCTGGACACATCCCAGCTTGTCAGCATCTCCCTTCAATTGTGGTGCCCAGAACTGGACACAGTATTCCAGATGTGGTTTAACCAAGGCAGAATAGAGGGGGAGCAAGACTTCCCTGGATCTAGACACTATACTCCTATTGATGCAGGCCAAAATCCCATTGGCTGTTTTTGCCACCTCATCACATTGTTGGCTCATGTTTAACTTGTTGTCCACGAAGACTCCAAGATCTTTTTGGACAAGTTAAACATGAGCCAAAAGAATGGAATTAGGCAGTGAAACCACTCCTTGGGCTGGTGCAGTATAGTGTGCTCTGCACCAGTCCTGTGGTTTCCTGCCTGGACTGATGCATCCTATACTCTAAGACAATAGGGTTTAAATCCATGCTAAGTTTATGGCTGACCTTGGGTAAGTCTAACTCTCCGTCTCATAGGAAGGCAATGACAAACCCTCTCTGAATAAATCTTCCTAAGGGCCTCATCACACTCGAGCATTTCCCCACTTCAGTCCACTTTAAATGCCTTTACTGCCTCCTGCATAATTCTGAGGTTTGTAGTTTAGGGAGGGGCCTTTAAACTGCTCATCCAGAGAAACCCTGGGCCTCCCTCAACCACAAGCCCCAGAATTCTGCAGGAGGCAATCACAGCATTTAAAATGGATTGAAGTGGGAAAATCCTCAAGTGTGATGAAGACCTAAGAAAATCCCATGATGAACCCATTTTAGGATTGTCATAGATAATGATCTGAAGATTCACAACAACAGCCCAAATCAGTATTTTCGATTCAGAAAAAAACTGTTTCCTTACCTTTTTTGATAGGACACACTGTGCACTTTTGGTTTTTCTTCTAACTGGGCTACATGCTACAAAAACAGAGAAGACATGGAAACATCATCAGCAGGAAGTTCAGAGGTTGTTCGAATTCCCTTTAATGTCAAGGCAGGCCCTCTAAGAGTACACAGCATCCCCCAGGCAGCCGGGCCCCATTATTTTAGCAGCACAGTTTGGAGAACTTACTTTTGGGGACTATACATTATGCACAAGCATTCCAGTTAGCAGCAGTTGGCTGAAACTGAAAGCTGCCATTTACATTTCCAACGGTATCTGAGAATGTGAACTCAATTACAGTAAAATGACAACTGGCTGCTCTATTGCACACAGAAGGGAATGCTGCTTCTGCTACGTTTACTAAAGCTCGCCCACACAACAAGGGGGACCTACTGGCATAAGAAACCCACTATAAGGCTCTTTGTGAAGGTACTGCTCAAACCAGGAGCTAGTTCTGGGTGAAGTCAAAAACAGATGGAAGGAACTGAAGACATGGAGTCTAGAATATTCCAGCCGTGGAGCCTACTATTGTTGCACGTTAAGACTCTTGCACTTTATGTACTATCTTACTTTCGCGGCTGAAACGTTCACTACTCTTTTCCACTACCAATCTTACTGAAGTGCACTGTTATCACCCATGAGGTCCCCCACTCTTCTACTTATACTGTCCTTGATATTAGTGACTAGTGGAAGGAGCAAGGGAGGAAGTGGGCTGGAGCCCGTGGATAACAATGAGGTGGGGAGGGGGGAGAAAGAGAATCAAGGTAATTGGCATGAAAAAACGCCAACAAACCAAACAACTAGCGAAACAGAGACTAAGACCTTGGTTTCGGATTGCGGCATGGAGGAGGGGAGGTGTTCCACTAGCCGAGGGGCCCCCATAGAGGTCGTGGTGGGAAGGAGGAGATGCGGAAAAAGGAGACATCGAATTCGGCCTAATTCGGACCACTTATCTACATTAATAACCCCAAATCGGTCTCCTAAGGTAAATTGGTGTAGCCAGGTGAGCGGGCCCTCTGGATTGAAGGTGGTGCTGCTGAACGCCAGATCTGTCAACGGAAAAACGACCTTCATCCAGGATTTAATCCTGGATGAGCGGGCAGATCTGGCGTGCATTACGGAGACCTGGCTGGATGAAGCTGGGGGTGTGAATCTCACCCAGCTTTGTCCTCCAGGTTTCTCCGTACAGCACCAACCGAGATCCGGAGGACGGGGAGGCGGGGTTGCAGTGGTCTATAGAGATTCCATCCATCTGACCAGGAGCCCCATCCTGCAGACCACAAATTTTGAATGTGTCCACCTAAGGGTGGGTGACCGGGACAGAATAGGGATTCTGCTAGTGTACCGTCCACCTCGCTGCACTACAGTCTCCCTACCTGAGCTAGTGGGGGTAGTCTCGAGCCTGGCGTTGGAGTCTCAACGGCTTCTGGTGCTGGGAGACTTCAATGTCCATGCCGAGGCGACCCTCACAGGAGCGGCTCAGGACTTCATGTCTGCCATGGCAACCATGGGGCTGTCCCAACAAATATCTGGCCCCACCCACTGTGCTGGACACACATTGGACTTGGTTTTCTGCCAGGGATGGGAGCAGGGTGGCGGTGTGGAGGAGTTGTCCATCTCTCCGTTGCCATGGACCGACCACTTCCTGATCAGATTTAGGCTCACTGCGCCCCCCAACCTCTGCAAAGGTGGAGGACCCATTAAGAGTTGGTCCGCCCCAGGAGGCTTATGGATCCGAATGGATTCCTGACGGCTCTTGGGGATTTTCCCGCCTCGTAGGTGACCATGTCGAGGCCTTGGTCGCTCTCTGGAATGGGGAGATGGCCAGGGCAATTGACGTGATCGCTCCGGAACGTCCCCTCTCAAGTAGCCGAGCTAAACCAGCTCCTTGGTTTACTGAGGAGCTGGCAGTGATGAAGCGAAGGAAGAGGGAACTAGAGAGCGTGTGGCGTTCGGACCCAAGCGAGCCAAATCGAGCACGGTTTGTGTCCTTTTTAAGGGCATATGCCGCGGCAATAAAAGCCGCAAAGAAAAGTTTCTTTGCGGCCACTATTGCGTCTGCAAAAAACCGTCCGGCGGAGTTGTTCCGGATTGTCAGAGGTCTTTTAACTCCCGCCACCTCAGGCGGGAGCCCTGACAACTCGGTCACGCGCTGCGAAGCATTTGCTCGGTTTTTTGCAGACAAAGTCGCTTTGATCCGTTCTGGGCTGGACACCATGTTAAATGCAGTCTCTGAGGATGTGACACGAGCACCTGCTTGTCCTATTTTGATGGATTCTTTTCAGTTTGTGAAGCCCGAGGATGTGGACAAGATACTTGGAGGAATGAGGCCCACCACGTCCATCCTAGACCCCTGCCCATCCTGGCTTCTGAAGGAGGCCAGAGGGGGATTGGCTGAGTGGGTAACGGTGGTGGTTAATGCCTCCCTTCGGAAAGGCAAGATTCCAGCGTGCTTAAAACAAGCAATTATAAAACCGCTGTTGAAGAACCCATCACTGGACCCCACTAAATTTGACAACTTTCGGCCTGTTTCCAATCTTCCCTTTTTGGGCAAAGTCATGGAAAGCGTGGTGGCCTCACAACTCCAGGTATTCTTGAGAGACACGGATTATCTGGATCCGGCACAGTCTGGTTTCAGACCGGGACATGGAACCGAGACGGTCTTGGTCGCCTTAGTGGATGATCTGCGCCGGGAGCTAGACAGGGGGAGTGTGTCCCTGTTGGTGCTCCTGGACCTCTCAGCGGCCTTCGATACCGTCGACCACGGTATCCTTCTGGGGCGCCTTGCGGAGATGGGTCTTGGGGGCACTGCTCTGTAGTGGCTCCGGTCATTTCTGGAGGGCCGCACCCAGAAGGTGTTATTGGGGGACTCCTGTTCAACACCACAGCCTTTGACCTGTGGGGTTCCACAGGGCTCTATACTGTCCCCCATGCTGTTTAATATCTACATGAAGCCGCTGGGTGAGATCATCCGGAGTTTCGGGGTGCGGTGGCATCTGTACGCAGATGATGTCCAACTCTGTCACTCCTTTCCACCTGCTACTAAGGAGGCTGTCGAGGTCCTGAACCGGTGCCTGGCCGCTGTAATGGTCTGGATGAGGGCGAACAAACTGAAATTAAATCCAGACAAGACAGAGGTACTCCTGGTCAGTCGCAAGGCCGAACAGGGTATAGGGTTACAGCCTGTGCTGGACGGGGTCGCACTCCCTTGAAGGCGCAGGTTCGCAGCTTGGGTGTGACCCTGGATTCATCATTGAGCCTGGATCCCCAGGTTTCAGCGGTGACCAGGGGAGCATTCGCACGGCTTAGGCTCGTGCGCCAGCTGCGCCCGTACCTTGGGAAGTCTGACTTGGCCACGGTGGTACACGCTCTGGTCACATCCCGCCTTGACTACTGCAACGCTCTCTACGTGGGGCTGCCCTTGAAGACGGCCCGGAAGCTTCAGCTAGTCCAGCGCGCGGCAGCCATGTTACTAACAGGAGCGGGACGCAGGGAGCACACAACGCCCTTGCTGTTCCAGCTCCACTGGCTGCCGATTTGCTACCGGGCCCAATTTAAGGTGCTGGTGTTATCCTACAAAGCCCTAAACGGTTCCAGCCCAAAATACCTTTCAGACCGCATCTCGGCCTATGAGCCCACGAGGACCTTGAGATCGTCTGGGGAGGCCCTTCTCTCGATCCCGCCTGCTTCACAGGCACGTCTGGCGGGGACGAGAGAAAGGGCCTTCTCGGTGGTGGCCCCCCGGCTGTGGAACGACCTCCCTGCTGACATCAGACAGGCGCCCTCCCTTTTGTCCTTCCGTAGGAGCCTGAAGACCTGGCTATTTGAGAAGGCATTCAACTGAGCGCTACGGCAATTGGTAATTGACAACTGGAACGGAATATGGATTATGATATTGGTTATGATTCTATGATGTGACGGAGCGGATTATTTAGTGTAACTAGATTATAGTGTATTATTGTTGTATTGATTTCCTGTTTTGCCCTTTTGTAAACTGTTTTTATATGTTGTGCACCGCCGCGAGTCGCCCTAGGGCTGAGAGCGGCGGTCAATAAATGCAGTAAATAATAAATAAATAATAAATAAATAGAATATTCCACATTTCCCCTTATCTGCCCTCATAAGTAGTGATGTTTGGAAGTCATTCTGATACTTAATTGTATGAAGAGCTATTATCTATTTACTTACTTACTTACATTTCAATACCACCCTACATCAAAAGATCTCAGAATAGCATTTTGTACTGAGCTGTAACCATTTCAAATGATACCACAAAAAATTCCTAGCTGTTTTGAGGAGTTGCATTAAAAATGAATTTGTGACATACCAATAGGCAGTGGTACTTCAAGGGGTGTGGGGTGTGTGAACCGCACTGGGTGACATGTTTTGTTATAACCACAAAAACATTATTTTTAAGTCTAGATTTAGCTTCCATGTACTGTTTCAGAACACTTACAAGGCTAAAACTCTATCCTGATGTACTTACTAATCTTCTAATGTGCTGGTCATTATTACCCAATTACAATAACACTTTTAATCATGTGGTTTTGTTTGTATGTGCTGCAGGCACATGCTGTTGCGTTCATTGCTGCTATATATTTTTCTCATATTTTAGCTATGATATTGTGGTATGGGAGCACCTCATGGCACACTGGGTTAAGCCACTGAGCTGCTGAACTTGCTGACCAAAAGGTTGGCAGTTTGAATCTGGGGAGCGGGGTGAGCTTCTGCTGTCAGCCCCAGCTTCTGTCAACCTACTCTACTCATGCAAATGTGAGTAGATCAATAGGTACCACTTCGGAAGGTAACAGAGCTCCATGCAATCATGCCGGCCACGTGACCTTGGAAGAGTCTATGGACAATGCCGGCTCTTCAGCTTAGAAATGGAAATGAGCACCATCCCCTGGAGTCAGAGATGACTAGACTTAATGTCAAGGGGAAATCTTTACTTTTACTATTATGGTATGGTTTGGTATGGGAGGAGGTCCATGAGGGTGGCACATGTGTTATTGCATTGGCCCTCCAGCTATTTTGG